AAAGGCGTTCAGGTAAGACCAACGCCCCTTCTCATCCAACATCATTCACTAGCATAATAGCTGACTAATAGGTTCATTATTTATGGTTAGCCGTACTAAACTTTCTTATGAGTAGAATGCAAGCAATAATTCTAATTTCAGAAGTGAAGAAAGTTGTAATGCACATTTTAGCAATTATTAATAGTTATAGTATTCTCAATGGGGAGGTCTTCATAATAAACCTGTAACTTGCAAGGGTTCCAGAACTGGCCTGGGGATATAAACAAGATCCAACTACACCAATTTTGTGGTGTAGTTCTTATGACATCAGTGAGACAGAATTCATTATAATACAAGCACTGATATTAATATGATAGGAAGAAGAATCTTCCCCCACCCTCATTTATCTTTACTATAAAGTAATATATGTTCGCTGTCATTTTTTTGTCATTCCAAGAGAAGTTTCAATCATCTTAAATTCAAAATAATTTTCTTTTTGGGTAAATATTGTAATTTATCTTTTGTTTGTAAAGAACTGACACCTTATGCACATAGTAGTGGTTATATTGGTTTATTTTATATAAACAATTTGCCATTCATATCTGCCAAAAGCAAACTTTATGAACTAACTGCTGCCATTTAAATTTAGGTCAACATGTAAGATACAAGAGTTACTTTGTGTTCTTCTGTAAACTGCTGGAGTAGTTAGAAATGTGAAACATTGTAGGAGGTTGAATAAAAGAAGTATATGAAGTGGTATTCTCAGAAGAAAAGAGATTCACATTTTATTTCCCCATAGTATTTAGCATAGAAATGCAAATCTCCTAATTTCCTGTCAGCTTTAGTAATATTGTTTGCAGGGTAATAACTACTCTGGGTTTATTTGCAAGACTTAGTTACATTGTTTCCAATACTTGCTCCACTTGTAATGGAACTTCCATATTCTTCGTTATTTTCCAAATTGTAAATGTTCTTGGTTCTATTTGCAATGTAGATGTCAACTTATTGGTATATTTAAATTCAAGGGCTGGAAAAAAAAATGTCAAAATGAGTGTGTTCATGGATTGAAGAACAGAAGCAAACATAAGATATATAAGAAACAATATAAGATAGCACTATTTTAAAATAATGTAGCATTATGAACGTCATTCTTGGCTGCGAAAAAAATGATTTTCTGGATAAAATGCCAATTTATTTTATGCTCAACTTTGGAAAAAATAAAACCAACTAAAGTTGCTTTTTTAAATAGGCTTTTTTTCTTTGTACCTTGTAGGTTTACATAGTGAGAAGATGCTTTGCCAATAATGTTTTTTGATATCTTGGAATTCAGCTTTTAAAATTTATAATTTTCTCTCTTACCTCTTTATATCTGCTCCCTCTCCATGGCTTTTGTAAAACCACAGATTCACATTAATATCAAATTTCTATTTTCTTTGAAGAAAATATTAAGACTGGGAAATAATGCAACAAAAGGCCTCCCTGAATAATTTACCTAAATCTGGAACAAAATTCACCTGTTTGAATTTTAAAATATTTGTAAGATTTAGTTAAGATTCATGAATATGGTTGAAAAAGCCAGGGATTAAATAGGATCTCTTTTGAGAAGACATAAAAATTGTTATGTGATATATATAACATAACTTGCCATAAAATGTGATGATCTATTTTGAGAAGACATATTCTTATCTAAAAGAAGCTTATATAATTTACACAAATCCATCCATTATCTGTTTCCTGTCAAAGGAATAAGAAGAAAACAGTAGCATAATGAGTATGATAGCCTGGGGAGAAACCCAGAATAGATAAAATGTTTCAGCGTTTAGTATGATGTATACTTATTTAGTTAATATAATTTGTATGTACTTTTTATTTTCACAGGAAATTTCAAAGCAGTTTATGATAAAAGCATTTGAAATTCAATACATTCCTGGAAACAAACAAACAAACAAATAAATATTGGTATTTTATATCACCAGGGAGAACTGCCCATCTTGATAGAGGAATGCCAAGCTAGATGTATATGACTCCAGTTTTTGGTAGAAATGCTTTGTTTCTGAGGCCTGCCGGACCTTAGTACAACATTTTGATGTGGGTAGACACCATGAAGTTTTGTTTATTCACATACAGCTATTCATTTCCTTTTTATATATTAATGGACAATAAACAGTCTAAAGAATAATTTTTAAGGAGAAAAATAGATATTAAGTTGGAAAATCTGAGCGCAAGACTAGTTTAACACATCCAGTATTTCATTATGTGGATGTTATCCATTCAGTTGTTTCTAACTTTTGGTGATTTTATGAGCCAGGTCTCTCCACATCTGCTCTTGCACTGCTTCTTTAAGTTTTTCTATACTCTGGCTGCTATTAGCTTTGATGGTGTCCAGCCACTGTGTTCATCTAATATTTAAATGATAATATTCAGTTGCAATGTTATATCCTAATTTTCTGATAGAAATACAGTATATGATAAGTGAACTATCAACTCTACTAAAATGGCTACAGTGATTTAGCAGTGTGAATTAGCATAGTGATCAGTTGGTTTTTCTTTTTAAAATGAACACACCAGGATTCTGAGCATCTAGCAGTTATCCATATTCCTGTGGCCTCAAGTTATTATCTGGATACATTTTCACATGTGTTTTAAAGTGTTTTAGAATGGACGTTGCCTCTCATTCCTAGTTAAACTGTAAATACAGTAGTGTCATATCCTGTCTAGTCCAGATGGTTGATGATTATGACTGGGAGGGGCCTTGTAATAACCACTGTCATACTTGCATAATTTAGGACAATTTTGATAGTTCTTTGGGATATTTTATTTCTGTTGTTTTTGTTTGCATCAGTAGCATATATTTTCCAAAATACAAAGGGTAGTGTCAGTAGCTCTTTTTATTGGTGGATATTGCCTTCAAACAACCCTTCTGGTTCACAAAATGATTAAGCATAATTCCTTCTGGTAGCTTATGTTTAGTTCTACACTAAACTTGGGTATACATAGTTTTGACTAAGTCAGAAGAGGAGTCTTTACATGATATACCTATTTTATGAACCATGGAACATAATTTCTAAGAAATACCATTCTGGTTGCTGGTAGGAGAAGCCAGCTATGTATTAGAAATATGTGCTCTCTTTAAACTGAAGATGTTTATATATGTCTATGGCTTAGATCAGTGTTTCCCAAACTTGACAATTTTAAGGCATGTCCTCATGCCTTAAAATTGTCAAGTTTGGGAAACACTGGCTTAGATGACAAACTCATAGTTAACCATGTTTTCCAAGGTGCAATGGCTTGTTCAACGAACTCTTGAGTGCCATTCTGTCTAAATCAAGCTGTTTTTCATTTTTTGTGAATGAAGGCAGTGTCTAAAAATTCAGTGTAAGCAGAACGAGCCTCAAATCCCATTTCTCCAAGCTAATAAACACTCTCAGAGGCTTCTGCTCTCCACCATTGAAAGCCATTAAGATATAATTATTAAAATATTGGACTGGGATTGGAAGTGACTCAGTTCAGTTCTTTGTGGCTTGGATGACTTAGGACAGTCTTAGCCTAATCTATTTTTGTTTTAGTTTTGAGGATAAAATTGGTATGATGATGAAAATAAGGTATACATATTGCCTTGAGCTATTGCAGAAAAACAGAATAATAAAACTGAATTCTAGAATGTAGATAGTACTCAGCGGTGTCTGAATTAGAAGATTAATACTAAACTTTGGCTTGGTAACATTTAAATTATTTTTCTATTTTTATTCTTCTCCCATTGTTGGGCACAACCTTCAGTAAAGAAATTGCATTGGTCTGATGAGAGCAGCCGTCGCTGCTGAGTGTCATTTTTTTTAAAAGTATAATTCAGTAGGGGTTTCAAAAGTAGTCTTTTATTTATTTCAGTTTATATAGTCGTAAATGCTGTTAAAATGTGTTTGAGAAGGCAGTTAAATTTTAAAGCTAAAGTATATACAGCTATTTTAGTATAATTACATATTAAAAACTGTGATCCCCTTTTCTTCAGAATCTGTCAGAATCAGATTATAGGAGTCAGATAACGCTGGTTCCTAGGAAGGCAAGAAAGCTATTTTCAGAAACATCCAACAACAACATTTTAAAACCCAGTTACTTGAACTTCCTATTCTTCACTCCTCCCCAAGGATAATCAGTGGAAGAAGTTCATTACCACAGATCCTCATGTCCTTAAAGAAGATATTCATGTACAATGTTTAAATTAAATTAATTATTTGAAAATATTTTCCAAATATATGCCGTATATTTCCAGGACAGATATGCTTGCTAATTAGTTGCTAGAAAACAGTGGCTAGAAAACAGAAATATTTGGGAAACTTGAAAGCACAGGTTAGGGATAGACCGTCCTGAAAAAAAATCATTGTGTGGTCGCTAGAACTTGAAAATGATTTGATGGCACATAATAGAAACAAAATAACATCAAGGATTCTATATGGTATGACCTCAAACCTTTGATCCTATAGTTCACATTCTCTTGCATATCATAATTACATTTGTTAGTGGAAAAAGAGCAACCGATTTTTTTTTCTTACATTTTGTACATCTAGAAAAAGTAAAAGCTAGATTCAAAGAAATATAAAATTTCTTTCATGGAATCAAGGGAGATTGAAGGTTCCCTCCACACCCCCATTCTTACCCCGCAATTTCAATTTTAGTAAAGGATTGCCTATAACTTTTTAAGAAGGCTTTGTGGGGTCCATTTAAAAAATAACTTATTTAATTTAGATTTTATTTGAAGTTAAGATATATTTTCAGCAGGTGCTTAAAAACTATTGATTTTGTGGAATCAATTTTTTTTTAATTCACTTAATCACTCTGTTTGAAACAGGAAAACCATAGCTGGATACTTGTTAAGCTGACCATTCCATACTCATAATCTCTTACTTGTCAGTGAACTAAAATGATCAACTGATTTGCAGGAGAAAGAACAATTTGTGGGAAAAGCATTGGATGGTGTAAACATTATTGGTCTGAGGTTCAATTTGACTTGGTCTATCTTGATGCAGCAGCACAAGCCAATGAGGAAGCAGTCACAGTTCGGCGTGAACGCAGCACATTTAGGCGTCAGGCAGTACGGCGCCGTCACAATGCAGGGAGTAACCCTACCCCTCCTTCATTGCTCATCGGCTCTCCCCTCAGGTATGGTATTTGTGTTCCACCGTATCTAACATGCATGCAGCTGATCACTGCTCCCAACTCCCAATGGTGTTGTAGGCATGCTTTGTTCTGCCTTCTCTCCTTACCCCCACCAATCAAACTCCTTAAGCTGTTACTGCATGCATTTGTGATACTTTTTCAATTGTGCATGTGTACACTAGGTTGTTCATTATTTCGTCCATCTTTTTAAAATGATTAGTCTACTGAAAGTCATCTAAGACAGCTAACAAACTGATCTGAAATTAGCTCTTTCATTTAAGTTTCTAATTTTTTTCCCAATGTATTATTTTTTTCTACAAATATTAAATGTAGAAATTGCTTTAAATAATTCAAGAGTTAACAGGACAGAAAAACCAAAATATATTAAAGTTGTCTAATATTTTTGGAGACATTGTAATATATTCACATCCATTTAGCCTTTAAATGTAAATTATATAATTTTAAAAAATCTTAGGTCCGTGTTTCTGCTTTAAAACCTGTTAGCTTTTATATTTAATAAGCAATTAAATAATAAATAATAGATCTCAGACTTAATTGTAGTATAGATTTCATAAAAATATTTTCTACTGTAAAATCTGAAATAAGTATTAGTTGTAATTGTGCAGCACTGCTGTAACTTCAATGTTTGTATATCTCACAGGTCACAGATTTTCTCTTGTACATGCTATTGAATACACAGAAAAAGTAAGTGTCAAGAGAAAAAAAATACTGGTGCCGTGTTGGAAAAATATTCAAATTCTAAAGCATCATGTGAGGTGCTTTGGATTTTTATAAATACATCTATTTTCCAATTTGGAAACCAGTTTGTTAGAGTGGATGCTGATAGATAACCAGATCATTCCACACTTAGCAGTTTCTTCTGGACATCCCTTTTAAGTTATTCCAGCGGATTGAGTGGCTCTCTGAACTATGTGTAATAGGCTGGCAATCAAATGGTGGAATCAGGAAAATTCAGTAATGCTATTCTGTTCTTGTAAAACATAAACATAGAATTTGGGGAGATTGAGAATTGCATGTCAAACTTGTAGATTATATAGTTGGAACCAGGGGGAATTGGGCATGATCAAAATAGAACACTGACATATCTAACAGTGTTAAATCTTTCTTATACTCCTCAACTTCATGTTGTAAATATATTTGTTTCTTTGTACTTTCCCACTTTGTCTACCAAATTAATTTTAACAAATTATGAAAAATTAGAGGCATCTAAGGAAGGGGTAGGGGTAACTATACAGAATGCTTTAGGAAGAAATTGCATATGGTTCCAACAGAATATAATATATATCTCAGGGTTGAACTATGGAGTCCTTGGTGCTCTCGGAGTTTGGTTGTTTGTTTGCAGACATTTTGTTACTTGATTAAGTAGCATCATCAGTACTAATGAATATGGGGTTTGCCCCTTGTTTATATATAGTTGCTTCCCTTCCAGTGTGATGGGGATGTGGTTTTCTCCTTGGTAGTTTTTTGATTAGGGTATTGTTTTCTGCTTAATTGTTTTTCTGATGTTAATTCCTGCTTATCTGGATGTTTTTGCTAGAAAGGATATGTTTTGATCTTTTTGTTTCCTTCTTAGCTTTTTTTTGTCTCTCTTGAATGGTATGTAATTGTGTTTTGTCTCTATATGTCTATTGATAGCTGATTTGTCAGAATGCCAAATTTCAAGAAATTCCCTAGTGTTGTTGAATTTGGCTTGGTGTAGAATGCTCATAGTTTCCCAATTGAAAGTAGGATTAATTCAGTCTATTAGTTTAATTATGAGATTAAGTTTTCATTTTGCCTTCTGATTTGCTAGTTGGTGTACTCTCCTAGTTTTCTGCCTGTCTTATTATAGTCCTATATGTTGTAGATTACTACTGTTTTTTTCTTCTTGGGCTAATGTGTATTTTGGTTTACTTAAGATTTGGGGGGGGGGCTTTAGTTGGTTTGTGTGCTATGATGATATTGTGTAGATCCAGAACTAGGAAAAGAATCCACCACTTTCAGGTTTTATAACAGAGACTATAATACAGTATCTAGAAACTTGCACTTCCACACGTACAATCAAAAGTATGGATCCAGTATGTAGACGACACCTTTGTCATAATAAAAAAGAAACATCTAGAAGACACATGAAACAATCAACATCTTTAAAGGAATAAAATTCCACAAGGGAAGAAGAAAACAACATATTATATAGTGTCGATATCATCAGCAGCAGAGGAAATGATGGCAAATTAGAAATACAACTTTTATCGAAAAACAACCCACACTAATCATTAACAAAGTAACAACCCAAACTCCCTAAATAGCATATTATTCAGATGCATATAAACATACTGCAGCAATACACAACTCCAGAAAAAAAAAACCTATGCAACATCATCCAATGAAATGAATATTTTTTCAACTTTATCAAAAAGTCCCTGGCCACTCAACCCGCTGCAGCACAACCAACACAAGCGATGAAAGGCAACACTGCAATACAACAAAAAAAATCTCAGAAACAACCAACAGATTATTGCAACTACATGGCATCACCATAACACAGAGATCTACTAAAGTCCTCCAAATCATTCTAAACCAAAAGACCCAGTAGTCCAAGAAGAAAAAATAGGATCTCTCTATAGCACACAGTGCAAGGATTATAACAATCATTATGTAGGACAGACAGCAGAAGACTAGCAGAGGGCATCCATGAACACCAACTAGCAGTAAGAAAACAAAATGAAAACTCCTTAGTCACACACACATGAACAGACTCAACCATGCTTTCAGCTGGTAAACTATGAGCATCCCAGACCAAGCTAAATCCAGTAATCATAGGGAATTTCCTGGAAACTTGACATTCAGGTAAATCAGCCATCAATAGAACATAGAAATAAACCACATTTACATGCCATTCAAGAGACACTAAAAAGAAAACAAAAAGATCAGAACACATTCTTTCCATCAACCAATAAAGTCACTTTATTCAGTGCTGTTGTAACTTCAAATTGTCACTAAATGTTGTAAGTCGAGAACTACTTGTATTTTACTTGCCAATACAAATGCATGTTCTATGGTACATGACTGATTTTAAATTTCCCACTCTAGGGTTTTTCAAGTATAATCGAAATAGCCAAAGTAGAAAGTGTTACTTGTACTTGTAGAAGTCCACACAAAAGTACTTGTAGAAACTTATGCAGATCATCTTAGGAAAGTTGAACAAAGGCAGGAAGAGTTACATAAAGAAAAGCATACTCTAAGCCTGAGCAATAGCAAAAACATAGGAAAGGAGCCCAGACTGACTCCCCCCTACTTCACATACGGTAAGGGGAAGCCATTCAAGATTCTTTTACTGCAGCCTACATAAATACAGTTCCAGTCAGTTTTTTGGAATCTCTTTCCTGATCTGACCTTGATCTGATCTCTACTGCTTCATATAGACCCATAATTTTAATGCAAATCCATTTATGCGGTGGGCAATTCCATCACAAAAACAGTCTACCATATTGAGCTTCATTAATATGACAAAGGCACATGTTTGATACAGCTTCTGTATCTTTTAGACAACAGTTGAATCATAAAATAATTGGATCAGTGTTCCATTTTTCACTCGCTCTTATTTTAATTTAGAACTCACGTGAAATTATGCTGTTCTTTTTAACAAAAAAAAATCTCATTTGCTGATAATTCTTAATGGCCTATTTCTTGTTGTCGTGACAAGACTTCTTTCTCCAAAAGAAGACATTTTAGGAACATAAGAGTTAGGTCATATTTAAGTAATTAACAGTTGTATTAAGTACTAGTAATGGTTTTTTTCAAGTGTCTTCATTACTTTAAAGTAGGGAAAAAATAAGTGGATTATATGTGTTAAATTGAAGTAAGCAACAGCAACAAAAATGCAACCTTTCTAACATTTTCTTCTCATTGTAACTATTTATTGAAGTTATTGACCCCTCATCTTTTAAACATTCCAAACTTTTTTCTGATATATTAGAACATTCCTCAATAATAAACTAATGAACTTCCAAATTCAACTATGTAGTTGATCTTGCATCTGAATGTATATCTATTTTTCCTTTTTATCTTATCAAATTGAAATCCAGCTGTAAAATTTAGGAGTCTGGAACAATTTCAGTAACAATATTGTCTATAATATAAAATGACTCCATGGCCTACAGGAATTCTCCCAAAAGCCCACCAATGGTATCGTGATCTCCTGTACAGTCCTTGAGGCAAATTTGGATTCCCAGCTTAAAGGACAATATAGATACTACAGCCTAAATTTAGGTGGACTCCTAAATATTTTATCAACCTAGGAAAAAATTGTCTGAGCTTGTTCTAACTTGTCTTCCATACAATTGTAACATTCTTTAACATTTTGTTAACATAAAACTATGAACTCTGTTGTATCTTTATTTGAGGTAGCTAGGCTTTGTTGTTTTTTCCCCTTAACCTATGAAACAGAATAAAAACAATTACAGACAACCCAGAAATAAAGAACCAGACACACAGAAAGCTGAATTAATCTAAGGCATATCATTTGTCTATCAAGCCAAATACTGGCAGTAACTGCTTTAAGTAGCTCTAACTTGGTTGAATTTAAAATGTCTAGAGTTGCAGTTTAGCATTACTTTTTGTGGGACATCCAAAGCCCAGCTTATTTACATTCAAAAGGCCATTATCTTACACAAATAGGAAAAAAAGAATTGTGGCTACTGCTAAACCATCAAATAACAATGTTTTTATGGACCGTGGAAACTAACACTATTCTTGCTGGCTTGCATGTTGCATGGTGATATTTCTTTTCATGTCCATTGATACTTGATACTTTGTTTGGAAATATTCTTCAGCAGCATTTCCTATCCATTATAATATCTCATATTTTGTTGAATATGTTTTTAGGGCTCTTTTAATAAAGTTCATGGCTGAAACTTGTAGAATAGGTGATTTATTAATTTGTAATTTTTGTGCAACAGAATGGAATATCAAAGGCTTGAGAGTAAATGATATTTATTAAAACTAATTCCTGAAGACTTCTGCTAAGTAATGTCTCAAAAAAAAAAAAAAAAAACCAGACTAAAAGCCATGACTAAATAGCAGGCAAATTTCTCAAAGACTATCTATCTTCATTTCTGTAAGAGTTATTTCATTTTGATAAATTTTAGTTTTGTGTGAAATGTATTTTTTTAAGTTTGATGTTATAATAGACCATTTTGGTATAAAATTTGTATTTAATTTCCCCCCCCATATACATAAATAAACATATACATTTTTTAAAAAAAATTTTTGAAGATAATGATAAAATATACACTAACATTAAATAACTTTTCCATTCTTGTATTTGCATGTGTAGATATTAACATTATATTGTATAAATTTTTAAAATGTAAAATATTTTTCAAAAAGGAACTAAATAATTCAATTCTATAAGCTTCATATACTCTAAACCACCACATCTGTTTCTGACATGAGCTGTTTACAGTAAACAAAGTATAATTTAAAAAAAAAATCAGTTATAGTTCTAAAAACATGGCTATCTGTTTTAATTGGAATGCAATGTGTTAATCAGTTGTAGATGGTTCTTTAAAATATATTTTTGATGTTCAGTTATTAAATTATTTTACTGAAATATGATAGTAAGATTCTTCTAAGAATTAGGATAATAGTAGATATACTACAATTTTAGGAATTATACATATTGAAATTTAAAGTATCTATTGAATGTATTGTATAAATATTATTGGTTTTGAAATTAGAACTATTTTTTCATAATTATTCTTAATGTAAAATCTTCTGTAATATTTTCATGGAACAGATCCTTTGAATCTATTTCCCAAATGCAAAGTTTTTGGAAGAACCAGTTAACACATAAAGAAAGCCAACCAACCATCTGTCTCATTTTCTTCTGTAAGGAAAAAAATGTGAAAGAGTTCTTCACAAGAATCAGAGAAAAATTTAAAGGTTTAAAAGTTTAAAATGCAGAAATACTGGTTGGATAATTAGATATATGAACCAAGGAGAATATAAACTATGAAAGAAATCAATAGAAGACGTTGCTTTTTTGCAGATTCTTCACTACCCAGCTAGGTAACATCAGCACTGCTAACACTGATGATGTAACTAGTTGGGTAATTATATTTATGAAACAAATATGTATAAAACTTTTTATGGGTCTCTTAACACTCATTTAAATATTGCTTCAGTTTTGTGAGCAATGTGAACTTATCAAACTTGATCCTTTTTTTCTTGGAATAATTCTATTGGAGTTATACAAGGACCTTAAGAACTACTATTAATAACTAAGCATTTATGGTTTTATTGTTCACCAATAGATTGCTGTTAGGCATATATAATTTTTTTTCTGTAGGAATTAATAATTTTAAGCTAATTGTTTTAAAATTCAAGATTTCTTTTACGTACATAATACTGTGTATTGTAGAAATATAGACTACATTTTACAAATAATTGCATTTTTATTCATATGAAATTAATAAACAAAGAACAATGATATTTCAAGGCACAAATGCAGATTTCAAGACTGAGCCAACTCTATAAAGTTATGTAGAAAAACAGAATATAAATTGAATAAATAAATAATTGTTACACATTTAGAGATTGCTGCATGTTCATTTTAGAAATACTTCAAATTTTATATCTTCAAAATGAATACCTATGCAGGTTTATAAGTTCCACCACAGTGTGATTGTTGCATTGTAAATTTTATGAAAGGTTCATATCACACTGTTTCTTTCAGGGATTTATAAATATATATGCCCATTATTAATTTACCAAGAAGTAACAGAGATTTAATTCAGTAGCATTTAGTTCAGCTGTAACATATATAATTTCTGCCTTATTCTTAAAATGTGCTATACAGGTAGGCCCAGTTTAAGAATGAGATTTGTTCCCAAGTTGAATTTGTATGTAAGCTGGCACAATATTATGTATTAAGTAATATTGTATAATGAATTTGAACCATTGTGTATTTAACTTGAATCACTATGTATTTAACTTCAATTTTGCTACAATAGACTCTGTTCTTAACTATGGGCTATCCTTATATTGGGATATTCTTAACCTGGGAACTTGCTGTATTGCAGTCATAATATACTAAATGTGCTAATATTGCAGTCATAATCATGACTTGAAAGACTGTACATAATCTTATTCAGTGTGATTTCTGTGGTTACATGTAAGGTAGATTGCTATTGTTTTATGCTCACCAAAACCCAACTAAGGTTAAATAACTAAGGCTACATAACTATGATTATAAGTCACAATTTAAATTAGACTTAGTTCTGTTGGTAGCATAGCAAATACCTGCATGCAGAATGGGCTTATTTCACAGTACATCTAATTTTTCCATATCACAATTTTATTCAGAAAAATTGTGGGCTTTATGTAATACATAAATAATTTTTCTTATTTTTATCTTTACCACCATGTATACCTCTGAATTTGGCCTGCCCTTTAAACAGAACACATTTGAGGGGAATGTAGAAAAAAAAGGAAAATTGGACATGTACTAATAATTTGTTTTCTTCAATATAAATAGATTATAAAATAAATTGATTTTTAATGCAACAGATGTATGTTGTTATTTTTAAACTGAGTTGAGCAAAGCAACTGCATTTACTCCTTATAGTCTTTTCAAAGTTTACTTTAAACTTGCATGAAAGAGTAATATTTGCTGTTTGTTAGCAAAAAAGCAAAGCTTACATTTTAAAAAAATTACATGATACTACATTAGACATTGACATCATGATATAATTGTACTTTCGAATACTGCTTAGAAGATAACTATGTGAAGTAGAAAATGTTTTGAAGTAGTAATTCCAAGTTAGTGTAGAATGCTTGGAATGGTTATCCAGCTAATTTTGATTTTTGTTTGTTTGATTTCCTGGATATGTTGTAACAGTGTTGTTCATCAAAAATTGGTTAGTTCAATGTATTGCAGTTCTCTCTTAACCTTAAAACAAAATACAGTGTTAACTTGGTTTCTAGCTGCTGTTTCTGTGTTCTTCCCTGTAATGTTTCCACCATCCATGTTCTTTCGTAGCCTTCAAGATGTTCAGCAAGGGCAGCAGTCCACAGCCAAAGTCAAAGTCCAGTCACGCCCCCATTCCCAGGCAGCAGTGCTCAGCGCTAGCACCTCCTTGCTGGTGAGAAATGGGAGTGTCCAGTTAGAAGCAACACATGACAGTGCATCTGCTGTCGGCAGCAGCAGTTTGCACAATGAACTTGGTATGCAGGCATTACATAACTTAGTGCAATCAAAGTGTTTATTCTGTAGCTTTGTGGCTTATAATGCATTCTACCTAAACTTGCTTAGTCTTGGCTTTATTTCAGACTGTTGAGGCATGTTTCTTGCAGCAAATTGCTTCTGGTCTCTCTTCTGCAAGACTTCATATGTTAAATTATTAGCTAGGGTTTTTTTTTTAAATCACTGATTGAAGATACAGAATTACGTATATTAAAATCCATCAAAATACCATGTCTCAATGTTTTGCATTCGTTTTAAAGATTTTAATTATGCATGGAACTATAGTAAACGGCTTTTAGCATTAATATTCAGAATGCAAATGATAGCATTTCAAACTTTGTTATTATAATACACTTTTGTGTTAAATGTTGCCATTGTAAGTTGTTTATGGTCCTCTTTATAGTACTGACATGTGATTATTTTGTTGTATTGATCAACATTTCTGAATTCTGTAATGGAACTTATGTTTGGATATGGAAACTAAAGCTAGAGAAGGCATGATACTACTTGTACTTTAATAATTTAGCAAGCCTATTTTTAATTAAAACATAATTACAAATTATCATAGAAATGACTTCCACATCTGTTTCATGTTGGATGATTTAAATTTGTACCAGAGCATAAAATGTGTCATGTGACCTCTGATGTTTGCTGAATTATCATCCACAATGTAAAATCCTATTAATATTTTAATCAAGTAGGAAATAATTGTGGCTTGTGTGTGTGTGTGTGTGTGTGTGTGTGTGTGTGTGTGTAAGCAGTGGTAAATTTATACACTGACTTTCAGTAGTGGATGTAAAGGCAGTCTGGTTGGGATGTCTTTGTGCCCTCAGTCACCAAGATTGATTTGTCTGATCTGGCTGGCCAGGTGGTTGTCCTTCTTCCCTCACTGCTCTGTGCACATTCCTTCCATTCCATTGCCTGCTTGGTAGAAGAGAATACCCATCCCAGATAGGAATGTTCTGTTTTGGAGTTAGGGTATGTGATATATTTGTTGTTGTTGTTAATTGCGAAGTTGTGTCTGACCCATCGCAACCCCATGGACACCGTTCCTCCAGGTCTTCCTGTCCTCTACCATTTTCTGGAGTCCATTTAAGTTCACACCTACTGCTTCAATGTGATATATATATGATAGCTGTATTCCCCTGGCTATAACATCCAAAATTAGATTTTTGAAAAGAGAAGTTTTTATGCATGACCAGGTTGATCACAACTTATTTAGGTATTGCAGATGTCTCATTTTGCAGTCTTTTTCTTCTCTATAGTGTTGCATTAGACTTCAGTAGTGCCATCTCATTATTGACTGGAATAATGTAACTTGATAAAATTTATTTTTGACGAGTTTGAAGAAGGCATACTTAAAATAACAACTTGCAGATTGCGAAATATGTTTGCAAAGCATTAAGTAAATTATACAGTAAATACTATTTTGCTAAAGCTGCAGTTCTACTTGTATTTTCCCAAAATTAAGTCTTAAGAAATGTAATTAATTTTATGTTAACGGAAAGACAGTATCTTTGCTGGGAACCAAAACATTGGGATTTTTTTTTTTAAGAAATTGGTAACAATAGTAGTCTCTCACTGATTATGCAAAACTCTTTTTGCTTCAAAAAGCAGTCATAAAATTAAATGAATATTTTTTATATTCATCCTAAAAATACAGTCCTGGGAAATAAACAGAAGGATCTTGCTGAAATTACTCCCTGGTTGAAAACTAGATTTTTAAATTAGGAAACTATGCCTCTCCCTCTTCTCCTTTTGCTGTTTTTTATTACATAGCTTGTGGGAAAATACAAATTTTACATATGTGCTGCACAATATCCTTTGAATTTCTAAATCATTGAAGGTTTTAAATGAATTCACATTTGTTTCATAGTAATTCTATATAATCAGGAGAACATTTGGACAAAATCAGTTATAAGCTTTTAGACCAATAATTACTTTTAAAATACTTTTTCATTTGGCCCCTTTGCATCACCATTTTATTATTGTTCATTTTAGTTTTAATTCTTTAGGTTGCCAGAACAGATATCATTACTAAAGAACTACAATGTGTGAATTCTTGCTTTGCATAAATAGCTGGAGCTTCCATATAAATAGTTTATTCAACCAGAAGCAAACAGGAATTGTGCTGATTTTATCTTCTCCAAAGGACAAAATGGGGAATATCCTCTATTAGCATTATCTTTCCCCCAAAATGTGAGCTTTCGTGTCCTTATTTTTCTGTGGTTTAGTATCCCAGAATTAACTTAGGCTATGTTATGCTGATAAATTTGAGAACTTGATGCATTTTTAATGTCATATTATATGCTGTTTTTTAAAATAATTAGTATAAGGAAGAAAAGATCAGGAAAGCTATTGCAAAGATTTGAAATACCTACCATCTTTTGCTGGAATAATTTTAGGATCATGTCTGTTTTGATGGAGCTCTTATTCTAATGCTATGGCTCTGTCTATTAGAATGTGCTGCTTTATTGGTACCTGCAGCATTTAGTGGTAACTACAGAACGAGATAATTTTAGAGTTACAGTAATCTTTGAATGTATTACTTTTATATTTATATTTTGGAATGAATGAGCAGATGACTGCTATGATTCATATGTAGGGAGTTCCTATTTTCTTGTCATCTAGTTCTGTTTCAAGGGTTCAAGAGTTATCAGAGGCCTGCTACCTCTGATTAGGATTTTTTTTTTCCAGAGATTTTTCCTCTTTATTGGCAGGACATTTCAGAGTTGTAATTATGCCCAATAATGTCCTTGGAGTGGCATTGTTTACATTCTGGAAGCTTAAATCAAATCACTTAAAAGTGAGAAGGTAGACATCCGTAGAACCAGAGTGCACAGTTAGCCTCATTGCCACCATATTTGACACTACAGGAAAGCATATAGAGGGCCTGGTGAAAAAAGGCTAACTTAGAAGTGATTAAATGTTGGCTTTTGATAATATAAGTGGTTTCTTTTTTTAAAAAAAATGCGAACTTATTTCTCTTTGAATCATAGTCACATTATATATTAGATTATAATGTCATCATATGATACCTCAACTTTAATCCAAGGAGCCATTGCTGTTGCAATCATTAAATCATTTATGCCGAGAAATGACAAAATATGGCTAGAATTGAAACTTCACTGTGTTCAGCAGACTTGATAAACATTTTTCTGTTAGATAAATGTATATACCTCTAGAACCCTTGTGTCTGTTTGTGACCTTCAATTGGGAGAAACAGTGCGTTATTTGGCAACTATTTTTGAATCAATATACTTCAAATGGAGTAACTTAAATAGTGCATCAAAATCTGGGATTCCTGACTCCCGTAAATTAATATTTGGTTAAGTTGTGGCTGCTTCAGTATCGCCACGCTGTTGTACCACTGCAGTCAGCCATAGTTGCATGTTAGTCATTTCCAGTGCTCTCTGCCAGCTTTCTACAAGGAAAGTCAATTGGGAATCTGGCAGGAAATCAAAAGTTACTCCCACACTTACTGCTTTTCTGCCTGTCCCTAGTCATTCTGTTTCTCTGTTTAGGTAAGGAAATATATCTGAAACCTTGACCTAATGACTAATGACCCTAAACATTGTAATAAATCTGTCAAGGAATGGCTTGGAGGTAAAAAAGAAAAGAAAAAAGAAATGGAGTAATCTGGAAGGAACAAGTCAAAGTCTGTATCTGCAGCAAATCCCATCAAGACATTGTGGGATAATTTGAAATGGGCTGAAACCCCTCTGACATCACATAGGTGAAAAAAATCTGCATGGAAAAGTGGGAATAAATTGCAGTGGATGTCAGAGACTGGTAGACAGTTATAAGAAATATCAGTTTGAGGTTGTTTCCGCCAAAGGAGGCAAGCACAGATAATCCACACTGTTGAGTCTGGAATTTTGATAGAAAGACTTTGCAGTTGTTAAGTGGATCACCATGTGATCTGATTTTACAACCATTTTTACTGCAATTGACTGCATTTAAGTGAATCATATGGTTGATAAATGTATTACGTGGCCGTTAAGTGAATCCATTCTCTCAAATGGGTGTTTTTTTACCAAAATCATGTATGTGTGTGTGCAGCAATCATAAGTAACTATTTGTGGGTCCATCATAATTACTTCTGGTTGTTTAAGCCTGCATTAGAGCAAAGGGTATACTTATCTTTTCCACAGAAGGAGATGGTATAGCTGTTATTATTTTTTTGTTGTTGTTGAATAAATGATTGCAAAGTCAGTTTTTCATAGTGTTAAGTTATACCATCTTTGTCTTTATATATTGTTTGAATGAATACAAACAATTGTTTTGTCCATGGGTTATATTTAATTTGTCATATGATTATATACATACTTTAAAGAAATCAAATAAAAAATTAAATAAATCTACACACTAATAAGGGAAATCTGGATTCCACTCTTAAATTCATTCATATACATTTATATTATTTTTATTGTAACTATAGTGTGTCTTATCTCACTATATTTAGGGAAGTGCCGAGAAGTCATCAAATGCATTATCAGCCAGGTACCAGTCATTTTCAAGTGTTTAGATATCCAAAATGTAGCAGAAACATATATTCCTATTTTTTCTCTATGCCTTAGGTAATAAAACTAAATTTAGATTTTTTTTTAAATGGTGCTGGATGACAGTATTCATTGGGCAAGTCATTCACTCATGGTGTTCTGCACAATACCATTTCTTCATCTGTGCTACTTATATCTAAATAAAACCATTAGTGGGAGATCATATGGAGTTTTGGAGTGGGAGGGATTCTAAATTGAGGATTATTTGTGTTACATTCCCAAATTGGATGATGTTCTAATCTATTGCTACAAATGTTGAAATTTAATATAGCTTTACCATAGCTTAAATCAGTGGTTCTCAACCTGTGGGTCGGGACCCCATTTGGGGTCGAACGACCATTTCATGGGGGTCGCCAAACCACGCTGTCCACCATTTTTTTCCCTTTTCCCTAGCTGTCCTACTCCCTCTTATTGGTGGCCACACCCACATGGGGGTCACTACAACATGGGGAACTGTATTATGGGGGTCACGGCATTAGAAAGGTTGAGAACCACTGGCTTAAATGCATAGTATTGTCGTATTTGGAATCTAGAGAGGGATAAGTGAATTAATACTATGAAATTGTTTTGTTCTGTGTTGTATAAATTGCCCTTAAATGGAGAAGTTTTGAGTAAGTATTGTATTGTAATTTCTCAGCTGGTATTCTTTTCTCAAAGCCAATATGTTTGCTATCTTTATCAATATGAATGAATTACTGGCTTGTTTGATCAAAAAATCAGAGTCTTTCTTTAAGGGAGATTGGAGATTTAGAAATAGGAAAGATAAATAGGACAGACAGAGAGACAGACTATAAAATTTTGAGAGCTTGAGTTTGATTTTATTTTTAAAAATTGTTCACAGTTTTGTAACTCTCCTGTCAGGTAATCTGAATTTGATTTTCAGTCAATGTAAGCAACAGGGCAAAAAGGATTTGTATCTACAAATGATAAACCTGTGTAATTGGTATGGGCTAAACTAGTTGGAAAGCTGATGTAAAGTCAGTTATACAAATTATTATTTTTCTATTTCTTCATTCACTTAATGGAATTGTTATAACATTCTGAGTTATGTTGATATACAGCATGTACTTTCTAGCTGGTGGAATGCTTGCAACAGAATACTTGCTTGCAATCTCTAATTTAGAAACTCTATCTTGCATATATGGTAATAGCGTGAACATGCTTAAGATAAAACTGGAGTTCAACAGCACCTATGGCAGATTGACAAAAATGAACTGAAAAAAATCCTGTCCTTACTATTAACAGAAGATACTGCTCATGGCATGTTTGCAATTAAAGCTGGTAACCACTTCTACACTTTTTTTCTTACTAAACAAATTTATGATAGATTTAAGATTCCAGCAGGTAATGTACAACTTGGAATGTAAGAGAGATATCTACTTTATTAAAAAGTGTGAATTAACAAATAAAAGAAAAGTATATACATTGTACATCCATGAAAAATAAGAGAAAGGATAAGAGTGTAATAAATAAAGGTGTTTGATATTATGGATTTGGAGTTTAGGAATATATGCAATGAAGTGAAGGCCTACATTGGATTATAAATTATGACAGTTGAATTAATTTGTTTGTATAGGTTAAATGAATTCAAAATAAATATGTGAAGGAAGAATGAACTGCTTGAGAGGAAAGGGAACTCCAAAATAACCATGGTTAGATAGAATTGATGAGATTTTGAGAAAGAGTGAGATTAGAAGATTAAAGAATTGAAAGCAATATATGAGTCTGTAAGGATGCAGTAGAAGATCAATGTTTTCCAAGGCTAGAAAGGTATATTTTATTTTTCTTTTTTTTTTAATCTCACATCTTTAATTTTTTGGTTTACGATTTATTAAACTTTTTTGTGGATTTTGCATTTCTTGAACAGGAAGAACATGATAGACGTGCATGTTTGTATATACTTGTTCTGTATTGAAACCAAACTATGGTGACCAATGGATTTCTTCTGTAGAGAGGTTTAATTGAGACTATGACTCCTTCATTCCCTGTTTCAAACAATGAAATGGGCATTTTCAAAGGAACTATGCATATTATAAAACAAAAATGCACATCATCTATTTGCTCAGAAGTTGTAGTGAACTGTGTACAAGTGTACAGCATGTCATTGGCTATACTTGAAGAGTGGAGTCTTTTTGTTCTTCTACATTTTTCTATTTTATTACTTTTTAATTTCATTGTGTCATTGTTTTCTTATTTTAGTAACCCTAGAATTCCACTCTATTGAGATGCAGAATTTTATCTCCCTCTGCTGATAAAAAAGAAGCATTGCTAATTCTTTAAATCTGTGGTTTAATTTGGTTTGATTCAGAAGACAGAAGAATAAATGGAACCAGAATGAATAAGACACGTCTTTTTAGGGGTTTGGTTAGATCTTAAAGGCTAAAATGCAGAAATATAATGTTACTGTGTTCCTTAAAAAACAAATAATCATGAAAATGTGTGATTTTCACCAGCTTTAATCAGATTTTTAAATGATGCAGTGATCTTGGGCCTTTACAATTCACCCTTTAAAATTCTACAAAATCCTCAAATTTAAAAAAAAAAGCATGCATCAAAAAGGTGTGCACTTTTCATTTTTCTATGTCATATAATTTAAAAATTCCAGTGTGTGATATTTTCATATACACATAAACAAATATAAAGATTTAGTCCATTTTATTTACAATAGTTAGGAACTTAAAATCAAGCATTTGTCTTTATATCTATCCTTTATTCCTTTATTAGGAATATCTGTGTTAGGAACCATTTAGTAACTGTTTCTATCAGTGGCTAATAATCATGGGTTGCTAATATATAGTTTTAATGGAAGCAGATTTCCCATGTTTTCATCAGGCAATAGAATTAATCATGACAGCAAATTACATACATTGTCATAATTTTAAAGAAGCATTAGCTTCTGTCTGTTTTAAGCATATTGCCAATTAATTTCACTGAATGGTCTTACATTTGAATATTATACAAAACAAATTCTTCCCCTTTCGTTTATTTAATTATTTAACTATTTTTCTGCAAATACATAGATCCAATTTATTAGCTTTCTCCTACAGGAAAGATAGTCTTACTGCTGTAGGAATTGGTAAGCCAAATAAATTGATTTTTTTTTTAAAAAAAAAGAATCCCATTGTAAATATTTTAATTGTCTTGACATTGTGTTTTTAATGTTTGTGTTAACAATCTATGCCAAATAAGGATGATGAAAAATGGGTATATACATTAGCCAGCTTCATAAATGGCCATTTGTTAATGTCTAATCCTGATTTTGGGGATTTTTCTTATTGATTTTTCTTACGATTTTTAAATTAGGGTATATGTTTGTAGATAATAATATATTTGTTACTACAGTGTTCAAAAATTTCATAATATTTCATCTATCTTGACTTTCTCTTTAATAGGTAAGTTCAGTTCAACACTCTATGAAACGGGGGGCTGCGATATGTCGCTTGTGAATTTTGAGCCAGCTGCAAGAAGAACATCTAACATCTGGTGTGTTTTTAAAAGTAATTGCTGTAGTTTATGCAGTAATACTAATTTTATTTATAAATGGATAATATTTGTAGGGTTGCATATTGATATTAAAAGCAAATGTGCATCAGAAAGAAAGAAAAAAGTCATCACCGTCATCCTGGGTTATGGCTCAATTAGACATTCTGCCAAAATCAAACATTCGTTTCAATATAATGTGTGTTTGTGTATATGAGCATATTGGGGTAATGTTCTATTTTCTAAAACAGAAAACCAAATTGAATTGGAAAACAGACTAAGATATAAACTAAACTTGTCTTCTTGTTTCAGTGATACGGATTCTCATGTATCAAGTTCTACCTCAGTTCGTTTTTATCCACATGATTTAGTAAGTTTTTGCATTTGCTACTATTCGTTGCAAACAAATAATCATATCTATCTATCTATCTATCTATCTATCTATCTATCTATCTATCTATCATTTTATATTCTAAACTTAGCTGGTCCAGTTAAATTCAGGCTGACCACCTGAAATTTATGGTTCAAGTGGTCAGCAGCTGGACATTACAGATAGTCCTCAACTAAGAATCACAATTGAGCCAACATTTCTGTGGCTAAGTGAGACATTTGTTAAATGAATTTTGTCCCATTTTATGACCTTTCTTGCAACATTATTTAAGTGAATCACTGCAGTTGTTAAGTTAGACACGGTTGTTAAGTGAATCTGGCTTGCCCATTGACTTTGCTTGTCAGAAGGTGGCAAAAGGTAATCACATGACCCTGGTACACTGCACATGTCATAAATATGAATCAGTTGCCATGCATTTGTATTTTGATTGCATGACATGGGGATGCTGCAATGGTTTTAAATGTGAAAAATGTCACTTTTTTCAATATTGTTGTATATTTGAATGGTCACTAAATGAACTGTTTTAAGTCAAGGACTACCTTTACAGTTGCGGATAACTAGAATGACATAGCTGCTTTAATATACTAGGGCTAATATGTATAAATGCCTTATTGATATGCATTCCAATCATATGCCTTGTTCAGCAGTCCTAGTCTCATCCTTTGATATAGCATTAAATATCCCTGTAGCTTGGTGTGCAGGTATGCTATCTCTGCTATTTTATTTAACCTTGGAAAAGATCTGTATTTCTTTGTTGAAGACAGTTAGCCAATCCTGATATCCTTTGCCATAGCCATAGTGTTTTTGAGTAATGGTCTTAAGCAACTGTCATTCATATAACTCTTCCAGAGAGAACTCTCTCCCCAGTACTTGTATAGCCATATACAGATGGTGGGTAATCAAGTAGTCATCACCTAGCAGGATTTCTCTCCTAACATTTATATTCTTTCAAAATAGGACTAAAGAAGTAAAATATGAAAGCAAAATCTTATTAATGTTATTGTAGCTTTCCCTCCCTCAGATCAGACTGAATAGACTGTTGACCATAGATACCGATCTTCTGGAGCATCAAGACATGGAACTGAGTCCTGATCTGCAGGACCATCTACAACCACAAGAGGAGCCATCGCAAAAAGTGAAACATTATTATCGCTTTTGGATCCTACCCAAAGTCTGGATTGGCATCAATTTTGATAGATTGACTCTTTTGGCTTTGTTTGACAGGTAAGTCCTGTATGCATTATACTATTCTAACATAGAATGTGTTTAGATTATTAGTCTGCTTGGAAAAAAAATCCAAAGATTCTAGAAGTATCAAAGTATTAAGGAGTAAAATTGCCAAAAAATAGTTGAATGAAATCCGAGCAAGGTCATAATCACAAAATAGTTACTATTGATAAGAAAAGAAATCTAAAAAAACAAAGAGGAAGTGATTATCTCTTCTTGTTGAGATTTGGACTGCTAGATAATTTGATTGAATGATGGATTGAATGATGATCCGCTTTGGATCTATTTAATAGAATAGATTTCAAGTGAAAATGTAGTTGATTATATTTCAAAATCAAAAATAAGCAAATATGTCTTCTGAACATGTATAATAATAGTTATTTTATTTGTTCTGCTTCCTTGCATTCTTTGTTGAAGCATTTCACTAACACATCTCTTTGCCCATAGGAATCGTGAGATCTTGGAAAATGTATTAGCTGTCATCCTAGCTATCCAAGTGGCTTTTCTAGGTTCTATACTCCTTATAGAAGGCTTCTTCAAGGACATCTGGGTCTTCCAATTTTGTTTGGTGATTGCCAGTTGCCAGTACTCTTTGCTGAAGGTAATGTTTTATCCTCATTGTTGCTTAGTTTGAAATTATTAACGTCGTCTACTCTGTGACTTAATATATAGTATTTTCAAAAGATGTCCCTGTTTTATACCTTATTTTTCAATAATGACATTAAGAGAGCATCTTGAAGGGGAATGTGGAATAATATTTCCCAACATGTGAACAAATCTTTTCAGTCTTCATATTCCTCTCAGTTTCTTTTTTTTATGCGAGAGAAGGAGATTGAAATAAATTAATTTTGCATGTAATTGTAAACCTGCCATAGTTCAGAAGTTTGCATAAACTATGGTTTATAGAACAAGTGTGGATTTCAAAATATATTTCATTGGATGGATTGGATTGGATTCTGGCTTGCTCTTATGATTAAGAAGCCACTAATCCTCTTATTTAGATGTCACAGGAAATATTAATGTATGTGGATGTAGTATCTTGTGAGACAGACAATGATAAACACTTGGGAATATTATTAATTCTATAATTTGTTTTTTTTTTTTTTTTGAAGTGAGATTTAGAAAACTTGCAATCTTACAAATTGTTAAAAACCACATTAGATATTATTTTAAAAAAATCCTGAAGTTTTCTGAATAATTCAAAAACTCACTCACAATTTGAGGTATTTGGATTGGATGATTGTGAATTTGGAATTTTTTTCATAGGGAGCAGCAGTTTTCCTTTCTGTGGTAACCCAGAAAGAGAAACAGTTTGTTCTTCCTGTTGTTCATTAGGCTTTTTTGTATATTTCTGAATTCTTCATGTCACATTATGAGATTTTATAGAAATGGATTATACATAGATACAGAATGTCCAAGGCAGATTTTCCTGGTCTCCTACAATCTGCAGGAGAAACGGGAAAACAAGCTATATCATATCCCTTGAGAGACTGTTAAATGGCCATTTCCCCCACCAAAAATTGTCTTAAGAGATTTGTTACTCTTTTGTTGCAATTAGACATATCTAAACTATGATAGACTTTTTAGTTCCCATCAACTCTGGTTAATATTTGAGAAATATTTTTTCACAATTGAAAAATACTGTCCTGAAAGTTTAATGTGTCCAGGGAAGTCTTTTTAAATACCATTTGTGCAGATGATTATCTTAGGAGATACCAAACCAACAATAACATTTTTCTACTATCTTTGCACTTTTTCAGAGTGTTCAGCCAGATTCTTCATCACCTCGACATGTAAGTTTTCCCATCTGATCTTTATGTAGACTGATAAATCAAAAATTCCTGCACCTATTGCTGTTGTTTCAAAAATATTGCCATTAAAGAGAAATTGTGCTTTAAAAACATTGATAGTTTTATTAAATATCATATATTTACAATTGGCCAGTATGCAGTACTTATTAAATCCACTAAAAATGAAGGTGATTTTCTAAATAGAAAGTTTTTGAAGTGTTAACCGCAGAACATAGAAAAACAATACACATACACAGCAATATTTATTTTAATGGTGCCTGATAGGAATTCAGAAGTCACAAAAGAGTTAAGGTAATTTCTATTACTTTAGTAGAAGCTGCAAAAAATAAATAAATAAAAATCTAACAATAGCAGAAAATTAGCTGTTGTTTAGAACTGAAAATTAATGCTACTTGAATCTTTGCTCCTTGCTTGGAGTATGAAGCTGATGTAATTGATGTAGAATTAAAATAATGTTTTGCAATGTCTTATTGGAGTGTGTGGGGGGGGGGAGAGACCCTATTCCTTCATCTAGAAAAAGGCATAAGCTCTGTCTTCAGTGGAATTACCATGCAAAATGAAAAGTTTCAGAATTGACTTTTGAAGGAAGGAGCAATAATTTACAACTTAAGCTTTAGTACTCAAACTTGTATTCCAGGGTCATAACCGAATCATAGCCTACAGCAGGCCTGTTTACTTCTGTATATGCTGCAGTCTCATTTGGCTATTGGACTACGGCAGCAAGAGCACTTTTACGGCACGGTTCCAACTATATGGAATGGCTTTCACGAATCCAATATTGCTGCTTTCAGTAAGGGACTTGATTATGGGTGAGTGATTTTTCTATTTCGTGTATTTAGGTAAAGGCTGGAAAACCTGTAGCTTTCCAAATGCTGTTGGACCAAAATGCAGCAATCCCAGGTAGCAACATCTGGAAGTTGCTAGTTTCTCCCAATCCCTTTGTCATCTTTGCTCTGTTATACCTAATTGTTCTATTTTAGTCTCTCCCTTTCTGTCTCTCTCTTTAAAAAAGATGATATACCAATCCCAAGAAGGTCCTTGAACAAAGATTTTAAGCGAATATACAGGATTTATATGCTAGAGAATATAATCAAGACATAATGGGAAAATAGTACATGTAGTCCTTTTTAAATGACAGTCTTGCTTAGTGACCGTTCACAGTTATGACAGTATTGAAAAAGTTCCTTTACAACCAATCCTTGCATTTACAATCTTCTCAGGTCTGAAAAGGAAAGGAAAGCTGAAGTAGGATCATAACCACAGTCACAGTTTCATTTAATGATCACTAAATGTGTCTACCAATCAAATTGCCAGTCCCAGTTTTGGCTGCTAAATGAGGACTATCCATAGAAAACAAATGTCTCTCTATATCCTTCATCATTTTATTATGCCAAAAGTATTCCTAGTATCCCTCCAATGTATTAGGAGATGTATCTTTCAATTCCTGTGCTGCAATCATCTCTTTTAGCCTGTGTTGTAGATATTTTTTTAAAAAATACATTGGTCTCTGAACACAAATGTCTGATGATATGTGATGCAACTGTGTGGTCAGGACCAAAAATGTTCAACTCATTTGTTTGCTTTGTTGTTTTTTGTATTAGGAATTAGAGGAATTTAAAGGTGAAGTATATTACCTTTAGTTTAGAGAAGTTTAACACAGATATTGCCATTGTTATTTGTGTTAAATGCTGTAAAAATGCACGCCACCAAAAATTGTCCAGTTATATGACCAGATTTCAGCAATGCTGAAGAGATTGCTGTCACTAAGCTTTATAATCACATCATTTGGCAAAGGAAATGCTGGTCCCAATTGCCATTATAAGTTAAGGAGTATCTATACACACCAGTCATATACTTTTCTTCACCTAGCTTACGTCTTTATAACCATCTCAGTCTGTTTTATCTCAGACCTCCATAGAACCTTTCTGTTGAACATGTTAATTTGAAGAATAAAAAACAAGAAAGACTTAGCTTGTGCTTGTCTCATTCTTTCTCATATACATATAAATAACAACAGTATAAGATGCACAAAAGCTTCTGTGAAGCTACTTTTGAAGGAAATATAGTAGCTGCTATGGAATGCACTGCTGAATTTGTGAAGTTAGAAAAAGTTTTAGACAGAAGCAATATGTGTTGTTAAAAAAAGTTTTGGAGAGAAGCAATACATTTTTGAGTCATAGGACTCAGTATAGTATATATAAATCTTAATGTATTGCTAGTTTTTCTTAATTGTTTAATAATTAATTTCAGATATTTTGCTGTTTTACAATATCCTGCACTTAAACAAATGACTTTTATAAATATAGACTCTTGTGACTATTATGTAGCTAAAACAAGTCTGAAAATAGTGTACATTTCCTGCCATATGCATATAAGTGCTTGTATTCTATTAAAAATGAAATTCAACAGCTACTTGAAGTAATTCTTTCTCCAAAGTAAAGAGAACATTTATTCATCATAGTTCAGAGTGGAGAATTAGTCAGCAGTTCTTCACGTACTTACTACTTTTTATCATTTTTGTCTCCTATAGTGTTTATACTATGCTTCCCTATAGTATTCTTCATTGGTCTTCTGCCTCAGGTGAATACATTTGTGATGTACCTCTGTGAACAATTAGATATTCATGTCTTTGGTGGCAATGGTGAGTAAAACCCTTTTATTTCATGAAATATAATCAGTAAAAAACTTTTCAGTGTGTTTCTAAAAATAATTTTAATGCTTATCCAAACTGTCAGTATTAAGTGTATTACAAGTTTAACCTTTCCAGATTATAGGTTGTCTTCGACTTACAACATTTCCATTGTTAACCAATGTACTCATAAAGTGGGTTGTCACATGCTTAGTGCGGCAATCCTGACAATTCCCGTTGTCATCATTAAATACATTTTAGCAGTTGTTAGCTGAGCACCCACCCCATTCCGAGCCATTCTAAACTTGGCCCCTCCCACCCCCAAACCTTAGAAAGCTCCCACCTGCCTATATCCCTTTCCCCATCTCTGCCTTTTGACTGTCCTGCACCACGCCTTGCAAGGCAACGGGCAGCCCCAGCACTGTGTGGCTCTAGGGTTGCTTGCCATGCACCTGGAAGCAGCAGCCATCCCAGACCAAGCCACGGTCATTGTTGCCATCCTGCATTCTAAGACCCCTGCTGCCCAGCTTAACTTTTTGATTCTTGCAGCTGCTGTTAATGAGGTGTTCCTGTCCTGTCCTTTTGCACCAAGAAACCCCATTGGCAAAAGTGCTCCAGCAAAAGCATATCCCTTTGTAAGCAGTTTCTCCAGTAACCAGCTTAGTGCAAAGAGGCAATTATTATTATAAATGCCCTTTTGTGCAAAGCCAACAAGAGCATTCTGACAAAAAAAATATGCCCCTTTGCAAGCAACTTCTCCAGGAAACGATTCCTACCTGTGGCTTCCTGAGTCAGGCTCCATCCCATTGGACAAAACTGTTTCTCACTGTTTTCAACATGTTTGTAACTTCAAATGGTTGCTGAACAAGTGGTTGTAAGTTAGGACTACCTGTATCTGTCTGGTTAAGTACTCCTACAAGGCAGTGGCTTGATAATCAAATAGTTATGTACTGATTTATATAAGCAAACATAATTTTAAGCATATTTCTATATAACATAGGAGTGTAGGAAGCAATTCATGGTCTTATGCATTTTTATTCATAATGAATTTTTTTCTCTACAGTACTCAGTTGCAAAAAAAAAATGCATACCATAACATATCAATTGAAATATAAAAGTAGATGATGGACTGCTGCAAGTTAGGAAAGCTGAGGATGAAATGCATGAGTCTAGGGTTCACTTGAATTTTGCTGTTCTTTGCCAAACTTTGCTTTGGTATTTTGTGTCTGTGTGGGTGTGAGAGAACATGCATGTGTGTCTGCAGACACGCATGCACATGTACACTTTCAAGTCACTTCTGACTCTAGGCACTGCCAGTCCCTATACTTTTCTTTGCAAGATATTTGGAAGTGGTTTGCCGTTGTCTTCTTCCTGGGATTAAAAGAGGGTGACTGTCCCAAAGTCACGCAACTGGCTTTGTGTCTAAGGCAGGGCTAGAACTCACAGTATCCTGGTTTCTAGCTTGTGTCTTAACCACTGCATCAACCTAGTTCTCTTTTGCTTTTATGTTATGTTAGTTACATGGTTGTTAAGTGAATCTGGCTTTTCCATTGCCTTTGTCAGAAGGTCGTAAAAGATGATCCCATGATCCTGGGACATGGCAACTGTCATAAATATGAATCAGTTGTCAAGCATCTGAATTTTGACCACTTGACCATGGGGCTGCTACAGCGGTCATACGTGTGAAAAATGGTTTTAAAAATGGTTTTAATGCTGTTGTAACTTTGAATGGTCACTAAATGAACTGTTGTAAGTCGAGGACTACCTGTATATTATTTGAAAAGTAGCAATAATTTATTTTTGATCATTAAGAAGATGTGAAAAAATATTTCCTGAAAGTGAATTTATTTAAATTCTTTATACCCAAAGATACAACTAAAACAAACTTCAAAATAATAAATGCTTATTTTTTTTACGTCAAGATTCATTTTACTAATTTTTATTATTATTCTTCGTTATTGTATTATATCTAGCCACGACGAGCCTCATTGCAGCACTCTACAGTTTTATCTGTAGTATTGTGGCAGTAGCATTATTATATGGATTGTGTTATGGGGCCCTAAAGGTAAGTAGTAGCATCAGTGCTATATTTTTATATAGTACAGTTAGATTTAAAATCGTTATATTCTGTTCTTTGTAAAATGGATAAATGCAGTTATCATTTGATTTCATGGTTTTATATTGTACAAGGAGATGAGATTCTTTTTTTCATACAGTACAGAAACCCAGGGATCTTCCAATAACATTGATTTGAAATAACTTCAAGATTCATACAAAAGTCCCGCATCGTTATACAAGAAAATATATTTAAAATATTTGTTGATATTAGGTGTAATGTAAGGAATGTAAGGTAAGGACGTTAGGCAAATTCAGTATTTTATAATACTGTAATACAAAGAATACAACACTTATCAAGAAAAAAAAATATAATAATGGTTTATAGTGAGAAACGAATCTCTCTTTTTCTCAATCCATATTATGATTATTACGATAAATTAAACCTTGCAAAAAAAGAAGTAAAAAAGTTACATAGAGAACAAATTTAGCCCGTAAGCTGCTAAATTTTTTAAGCAATAAGAAACTGCCACAGAGCCATTAGTAAACAGCCTAAACAAAGAATCCCTAAGACCGCCCCCATCCAATCAGACAGGCAAGACACCAGAATATAAACTGACAGCAAATGGCACTCCTTACTAGTACTGATGAGGTTACCTAGTTAGGGTAATGAAATGTCTTCAAGAAAACAAGCAAGCTCAGAGAGCACCAAGGATCCCTCATTTCAACCTTGAGCTACAAATATTCTCCTTCATTAGTTCTCATTTATTTTTCCCAGGGAATTATAATGCTTCCAGATACTTTCTGATCTTTATATTGAGTAATGTGTACCTTGTTTCAGAGCTCTCAGTTGGAATTCTATGACTCCTGAATACTGGAATTGGATTATTTTATGATTACATGTCATTATCCCAAAGGTGCTTTTTCCAAAAGGCAACTGGACTTCTTGGTTTTTGCTTTGAAAACATTTTGCTTCTCATTGAAGATGCTTCTTTAGTTCCCCACCGGCTAGTTAGAACTTGAAGAAGCTTCTAGGATATGAAGTGAAACATTTACAAAACAAAACAAAGAAAGTTGCCTTTTGGAAAAAGCCCTTTTCGAATAACTATAACTGGATGGTTGAGAATCTCCATAGATATTTACATTTCATTACTTTTCTTTGTATAAATCAAAAAGCAGGTTTAAAATAATCCCCAAACCAAATAAACTTGTGGTTTAACCAACTATGCAAATGATCTGATTATTAATTTTTGAATACAGAATTTCTAACAAGTTAAAAATAAACATGATCTTTTACACTGTAACTTGATGTACTCTTTCTGATAAAGGAATACATATTTGTCTACAGGATTCTTGGGATGGTCAACATATTCCAGTGCTTTTCTCAGTATTCTGTGGTACATTAGTGGCAATTTCCTATCATCTCAGTCGACAAAGTAGTGATCCTTCTGTCCTTTTGTAAGTGATGCCTTCCTGTTTCTATAATTACATCAGTTTTGTTCCTCAAATTGAGAAATACTAGAAGAAATTAACTTTTTAAAAGCCTAAAGCTGTTTCTACGAATAAGTCACCTTAACTCACTTGGAACTAGTAGTAAATAGATATAGGATTGGAATTGTAGCTCTTTGCTGCATTGAAATTTCTTCCTTAAAAGTGCCAAGTTACTCTGATTACTGCCATAGACTATGATGGTTCTGAAGCATTTGTATATGTCTAGATGCAATAGTCACTTCCCAGTTGGATTATTGCAATGTGCTTTATATGGGGCTGCCCTTGAAGATCACTTGAAAGTTGATAGTCCAAAATATGCAGCAGGGCACACAATATTGGGTTTGCTCATATTGCATCTTTATTGCATGAGTGCACGCCTCTCAGTTTCCTTCCAGGTGCTTGTTATCACCTTTAAAGCCCTATATGGTACAGGTTATTTGTGGGACCACATCTCCAAAAGAATATTTGCCCATCCCACTAGATCAGATAGGGTAGGCACGCTCCCAATCCCTTCCCTGAAATCTTGTCATCTAGCGGGACCTCAGAAGCATGTCTTTTCTGTGATTGCTCCTACCTTGTGGAACACCTTCCCTTCAACAATTTGATGGGTGCCCACCCTTTTGGCCTTTCAGGAGATTTTAAGACCAAGCATTTTACCAAGGTGCTGAGAAAGGAGTGTACTATTGTCAGACACAACCAGCCAACCCACTTTTGAAGAGTTCAGTTAGCTATTTTATTGCTAATCCTATACACAGGAATTTTCTGAGAATAGCGGTTTGCACCTAGGTGAGACTAGATAAAGTTCAATGGCATTCAAGGAAGGGTTGGATTTTGCCCCCTTGTGCTCACATAGAGATTCTAGAATAAATCCCTGTTTGACTCCTCTCCCTGGCTTGACCAGTCCCTCCTAAAACTGTATAGATAGATAGTTTGAAATATGGACCACTGGAGCCTACCTATCCTAAGGAGATGATTAAGGCACAGAATTTTTGTTTTATTGCTTTACTGTTTTTATGATTATTTTCTGTGATAAAGCAATCTTTTATCTTGGTTTTACTGTTATGAGCTGCCCAGGGTTACTTAAAATGAGCAATGATATAAATCTTCTGAATAAATAAATTTAAGATGCACCCAGAGCTTCGTAGGAATTATTTGCATAATAACAGTCAGCTAAAAATTACACAAAGTACTTTAAATTACTTACAGATATGTTTGAAATATTGAACTGAAGCATTTCTGATGATATCTAAAAGATAAATGTGTAATAGTTAAATAGTAACATTCATTTACATTTTCAAGTTTCAACTGTTTCAGTGAAACTATGAATGATTGGCACCTTGCTGTAGAGCATGGGTGTGAAAACTCGCGTCACATGACGTGTCGCGACGTATCACGACTTTTTTTTGCGTTGCCGGAGCTGGGGTAGGCGTGGCCTCCGCATGATGCAATTGGCCCACAGGCCGGCAGTTTGACACCCCTACTGTAGAGGATATGTAGAAGCAATCTATAACATTTTATCTAATAATCTACAGCAGGCATGTCAAACTCGCGACGTCACATGACTTATCGGAGTTTTTTCTCCATTGCCAGCAATGGGGTGAGCGCGGTTTTGGGATGACGTGTTCGGCCCGCTGGCCGGCAGTTTGACACCCCTGATCTACAGCATTGTAAAGACATTGTTTGTTTTAACAAAAAATGAAGACTCATTTTCCTTTATACTGGAAGGAATGCTTTAGATTTGCTTAGAACAGTGTTTCCCAAACTTGACAATTTTAAGGCATGAGGACTTCAACTCCCAGAATTCCACAGCCAGCAATGCTGGCTGTGGAATTCTGGGAGTTGAAGTCCACATGCCTTAAAATTGTCAAGTTTGGGAAACACTGGCTTAGAATACAGTAATGAATAATGCAGTTCTTTTCTGTAAAGACTTTGTTTAAAACAAGTATTTACTTTAGTTCTTTAGTGCAATCAAAGCTTTTTCCGACTTCAGAAGATAAAAATCCAGAAGATCCACTATCTGAAGTCAAAGACCCCTTACCTGAAAAGCTTAGAAACTCAGTGGTAAGTTGGAACATAGTTTCAATTATTAATAATTCTCACAAGTTTGCTATCGTGAGTACTAAATATTGAGCTAAATAGTTGACATTCCTAAACAGGGATGTTTAGGAATAATCACCAACTTAGTCATAATCCAATACTTATCGATGTTTCAGTGTTGTATACAGTTATATTTCCAGTAATATGAACACCACTAGTATCTGCTATAAATAAGCCAAATCTGTAGTATAAGAGACAGTTTAATACGTTTCATGAACAGAGGAAACTTTCAGAACTATTAATACTGATCATTGCTCATCTGGGATTTGTAGGAGATACTGTCCAGAACATTAGGAACATAGTAGCTCATATTAGGACACCAGGTTGGAGGTTAGCAACATCCGCATTCGAGACCCAAGTGCTGCTGCGTGGCAGGATGAGCTCCTATCATCCACTCCAGCTCCTTGACGGGACATAAAAGGAACCCCCATGGACATCCCCAGGCAAAGGTGATGTCATCCTTTCAACCCAGAAGCACTTTAAACGGTGCGACACAAACGGGATGGGGAGTGCAGAACATTTGGAAAACATCCCAATGTGCATGTTCCATGTCTACAGCTCTATGAAAAGAGTATTAGATTATTTCAGAATATCTAAGTATTTGTATATCTTTACCACCAAATCAGAATTGGAACTTTTTTGGCTGTATGAGTTTTATTATACTCACAGTATATTTATTATATTAAATCAAACAATACATTCTGCTGTAAGAACTTTGTACCATTAGTCAAGTATGAAGCTGGTAGCGCCATGGCTTGGGGACGCTTTGCTTCCTCAGGACCTGAATGACTTACCATTGATGAAGAAGCGTGAATTCTGATCCTGTTAGTGAATTCTGCAGAGAATATGAGATCATCTGTCTGCTAGCTGAAGCTGAAGTAAAGCACAAATAGATCATACAAAAAGTCAGTGATTCCAACTATATAAGGAAATCTATAAAATGATGGAGAAAGAACAAAGTCGGTGTCAAAGGACTGATGACAGTGTCATTGAAGTATTATGTGGAACCTGAAGTAAGCAATTAATGCAAGAAAACCCACAAATGCCATTCAATTGAAGCCAGGCTGGCTGAGGAATTCTGGGAGTTGAAGTCCACAAGTCATAAAAGGGCCAAGTTTGAAGACCCCTGTATTAATATGAGAAGCTAACCACCAGTTTCAGAGAATGTTTGGTTGCAATGGTTGTAGCTAAAGATAATGAAAACAATTACTGAATCTAAAAAAATAACTACTTTTTCACATGGATACATTTATTATTGGATTACTTTGTGAAATAAATTAAACAAGCACCACTGATGTTATTTTTACTTAATCTCTATATATCTTGCTGTAAATATAGTATAAGAGTCACATGAAGCTGTGTTAATACTCCATGCCAAAGATATATATACAATTCAGGTGTTTAAATAACTTGTTCAGACTATGCTAAGATTTATGATAGTCTGTTCTAACAATTGTTTAAAAAAATATCTCTGTACAGCTTGGCAAGTTGTCTGGTACCTAAACCCAAATTCCACAAATATGTCAATAAAAACTGGGGGAGGGAGAGTGTTTTGAGACTATAAATATTAATTACATTGCTATATTCTGAAACTGTCTTCAAAATAACTAAGTGAGTAATAAAAATGTGAAAGTTGACATGCAAATGCATTTTCTTTTTTTTCTTTCTTTCTAGAATGTACGTTTGCAGTCTGATCTTGTTGTTTGTGTAGTCATTGGTGTACTTTATTTTGCAATCCATGTCAGCACAGGGTTCACAGTATTGCAGGTAAGACTTATTTCTACTGTCCACTTAAAAAATAATGATACACCTTTAATAATAATAATAATAATAAAGTTGGAAGGGACCTTGGAGGTCATCAAGTCCAACCCCATGCTCAGGCAGGTAACCCTATACCATTTCGGACAAATGGCTGTCCAGTCTCTTCTTAAAAACTTCCAGTGTTGGAGCATTCACCACTTCTTTTATATATCTTTCTTGGATATTATTTGTATTGCTTAGCCACATAGAAAACTTGTTTCTGGGTTGAGTCACATCACATTGACTCTATGTATGCCTCATTTTTTCCCCGCTTTCAAATGCTACAGGATTTATTCCAGCTAGTCCCCATTAGTACAGTATGTTAAGAATGTTAAGTAAAATCGAAAGGATATGAGTTAGCCTGTGATTAGAAAATTCTCATTTGTCCATGTTCCTGCTTGTGCAACTTTTTCAGAGCAGACTGATATGTCTGGTGTATGAGTAAATATGGAAACTTGGGATGCTAAAAAGTATGATGTACAGAAGCTGTGCTGTCTGAACAGACCAGAATCTCACTTTTGTTTGTTTTTGTTTTGTGTGATACCCATGCCATAAAATGCAAATACTAAGGACTATAGCAAGAAAGTTAGTAAACGTATCACTTAACCACTGAATCTGCTGGAAGTTTTATCATTTAGTGGTGGTGACTAAATGATAAACTTCCAGCAGACTCAGTGGTTAAAGAGTTGGAAAAGAATCTAGGTTTTAATCATACTCATCTAGAGAAACTCACTTTAGGATACCCATATATTCTCAAAGAATAGGTGAGAAAATATAGAGGAAGGAGTGTTCCAACCCCGGATAAAAACCAGAATTTATTTCTAACTAGTAACAATAACATGCAGTATAATAATCTGCATTTAAAGTGCAGCATTTAAAGGGAAAATGCAGAATTCTAGTCCAATTTTCCTTCAGTTACCATATTCCCTTAAACTGATATACCGGTACACCTAATCAAGGGTAGCAGTTAGGATCCAATATGGGACTACCAAATGTGTTTCTGATGTTTCTGATATGCAGAGGAGAAGATAGCTTTTTGGCCAGAGCTGCTATTTACAGTGAAATAAAGTAACACAATTCTGAAAGGGATGATCATTGTATTTTTCTGATTTTGAGATTTATTCTTTTTTCTTTAAATTTTCTTTTAGCCTGTTTTAAGTTACATTTTGTATGCATTGGTGGGATTAATAGGGTTTATGACCCATTATGTGCTGCCTCAGCTCCGAAAACAGCTCCCATGGCACTGTTTTTCTCATCCATTGCTGAAAACCAAGGAATACTATCAATTTGAAGTCCGCAGTAAGTAGCACAATTTGCAGTAAATTATCTCTAACTAAATATTGGTTGCATTATCAGTTAATATATTGAGATTTTATAATTAAGTTGCATTTATTTAAAAATCTATCTACAGTTAAATTACACACTAGTTTTTCTTTTTGCCAGAGAAACCTTATTCCTCTCTCTATGTATAACGAAAGACAGTTCAGCTATCTTAGGGACTGTTCTGTTAGAGATATTAGAGTTGAGCTTGATATTCTGTCCATATTCCAAAAATATTTGATATCAAAATGTGCTCTTTGAATTCTTAGATGCTGCACATGTTATGTGGTTTGAGAAAGTTCATATATGGCTTCTTTTTGTGGAGAAGAATATAATCTATCCCTTGGTAGTCCTCAATGAGCTCAGCAGCAGTGCAAAAGCTATTGCTAGTCCAAAGAGATTAGATACAGAGTAAGTAGAAAAAAGCATGCATCTTTATTTTACTTTTGTTTTAATTATGATTAGCATTTTGAAAAAAAGGTGTCTGTTTGGGAGCTGTGTTTCTAGTTTCACTTCTCCATTTTATAACCTTTCATTACCCTCAGCACTAGGAATGCTTTAGTGCAGGGGTGTCAAACTGCCGGCCCACGGGCCGGTTTCATCATACTGAAGCTGCGCCCACCCCATTGCCGGCAATGCGAAACCGGCCCGGTACGTTGTGCGACATCACGTGACATCGCAAGTTTGACATGTCTGCTTTAGTGCCTCTCTCCTGCAACTGTAGAATAAGAAGGTCTCATTCAAGCCACTGAGTTCAAACCGCTGCTCAGTACAGACATAATCATAATAAAGTTGGAAGGGACCTTGGAGGTCATCTAGTCCAACCCCCTGCTTAGGTAGAAAACCCTATACCACTTCAGACAAATGGCTGTCCAGACTCTTAAAAACTTCCAGTGCTGGAGCATTCACAACTTCTGGAGGCAGGTTGTTCCCCTGATTAATTGTTCTAACTGTCAGGAAGTTTCTCCTTAGTTCTAGGTTGCTTCTCTCCTTGATTAGTTTCCATCCATTGCTTCTTATTCTGCCCTCAGGAGCTTTGGAGAATAGCTTGACTCCCTCTTCTTTGTGGCAGCCCGTGAGATATTGGAACACTGCTATCATATCACCCCTAGTCCTTCTCTTCATTAAACTAGACATACCCAATTCCAGCAACCGTTCCTTATATGTTTTAGCCTCCAGTTCCCAGTCATCTTTGTTGCTCTTCTCTGTACTTTTTCTAGAGTCTCACCATCTTCTTTACATTGTGGTGACCAAAACTGGATGCAGTATTCCAAGTGTGGCCTTACCAAGGCATTGTAAAGTGGTATTAATATTTCACATGATCTTGATTCTATCCCTCTGTTAATGCAGCCTAGCACTGTATTGGCTTTTTTGGCAGCTGCAGCACACTGCTGGCTCATATTTAAGTGATTGTCCACTAGGACTTCGAGATCCTTCTCACAATTACTACTATTGAGCAAGGAACCACCTATACTATACCTGTGCATTTGTTTTTTCTTGCCTAGATGTAGAACCTTACTTTTTTCACCACTGAATTTCATTTTGTTAGATAGCGCCCAATGTTCAAGTCTGTCAAGATCCTTCTGTGTCTTAAGCCTATCTTCTGGAGTGTTGGCTATTCCTGCCAGCTTGGTGTCGTCTGCAAATTTGATAAGTTCCCCATCTATCCCCTCATCCAAATCATTGATGAAGATGTTGAAGAGCACTGGGTCCAGAACAGAGCCCTGGGGCACCCCACTACACACTTCCCTCCATGTAGATGCAATTCCATTGAGAACCACATGCTGAGTACGGCTGGTCAGCCAGTTACGAATCCATCTGGTGGTGATGCTCTCTAACCCGTATTTTTCTATCTTATCAAGTAGTAGGTTATGGTCTACTTTATCAAATGCCTTACTGAAGTCCAAGTACATTATATCCACAGCATTCCTCTCGTCTACTAATTTTGTCACTTGGTCAAAGAATGCAATAAAATTTGTCTGGCATGATCTGTTTTTGACAAACCCATGTTGGCTTTTGGTAATGACTTTGTTTGCCTCCAGGTGTTTTGCTGATTCGTTCCTTGATTATCTTTTACAGAATCTTCCCAGGTATTGAGGTCAGGCTGATAGGTCTGTAGTTTCCTGGATCCATTTTTTCCCCCTTTTTTGAAGATGGGAACTACATCTGCTCTTTTCCAGTCCTCTGGTAGTTCCCCAGTACTCCAGGATCTTTGAAAGATATAGTTTTCATGGTTCTAAGATCACATCTGCCAGTTCCTTCAGAATCTTGGGGTGAAATCCATCTGGTTCTGGTGATTTGAACTCATCTAGGGTGGACAGGTGCTCATTTACCATTTTCTTGCCTAGCTTAACTTGTGTTTCTAATCTGTTTTTTACAGTATTGTTTTTGATAGGTTGGACTGTTTTTTCCCTTTGTGTAAAGGTGGATGCAAAAAACGAGTTAAATAGTTGTGCTGTCTCCCTGTTGCTTGTCACTTTCTTGCCACTTTCTCCCACTAATGGACCAATCATTTCCTTCACTTTTTTCTTGTTTTTTACATGTTGAAAGAAGGGGTTTTTTTGTTATTTTTGACTTTTGTCGCAAGCTTTAGTTCATTTTGAGCCTTAGCTTTCCTCACTTCATCTTTGCAGGCTCGGGCTATTTGCTGATATTCTGCCTTAGTTATGTGCCCCTCTTTCCACTTTTTATACTTGTCCTTTTTGTCTTTCAATTATTAAAGTTCCAAACATTAAAATAAAAGTTAATGGCAGATAGCTCTTCTAGAGAAAGGGAGCCTACAATTTCCCTTGGTAATATTTTTCCACCATGAAAGTTATTTTAGTGTTAGGAAGGAAAGTTTGAATCTGTCATTAACTTTTTCTTGCCTAAATCTCTATAAACTGCCACACAAACTCTCCACCAGTCCTATCTCAGATTTAAGTTATTTGATTCATGAAGTCCTCCTTTCCAACACCGTGTGTCTTGAGATTCCAAACCTTTAGTTTCTTTGCTTTCTGAAATCTACCATATTATTGGGATATATCAGATATTAATATTTGCATGAATGAATGGTACTTTTTATTTTGTCCAAGACAGTGGAATATCATAAAATTCATATAAAAAGACTCAGAACCCTATCCATTAGCCCATCTATCTGTTGGCAAGATGACTCTCCAAATCCATTACAGAACGGGGCCAAATGTGGTATGAAAGGAGAACTTGGGCTGGATCTAGCCTAGAGATACCTCCATAGATAATCCTTTGGTCTAATCCAGCAGAGCTTTTCACATGATGACAGGATCTTGAGGCCCTTTACCACTTTTTAACCTAATCTACTTTATTAACTGAATATTGGTACATAATGGAAAAAGGGGAGGTTCCTATACATCGTTTTAAGAAAGAAAAAATTATAAGTAGGTGGAAGTAAAATTTATGACTCCAATTGAATGAGTTGGTATGAAGGCTGAATGAACATACTACTTGTCCAAGAAACAAAGTGATCTGACTGTTGCACTGTAATATCTTTCATCTGTATTTATTAGTTTAGCATGTATGTATGTATTAATTTCTACTTTTAAAAACACATGCAATTTAGATATTTCTTTAGGTAAGATTAAGACTTTATAACCCCTAGATGTATGGGTATCCACTGAGGGGCAAGTGACAAAATTGAAGTTGCAGTGCAAATTCTGCCTGTTAATAGATTTGCCTATATTATTGCAAAGCAAAGAGAAAAGGATGGAGCTGGTGTTAGATACACATTTTGTCATCTTAGTGTCATCACCACAAGCTACAAATGCCTCTAGGATATAGCCATATGCTGAGAATCCAAACAAGGTCTTGCGAGTAAGGAAATCTAATAAACAAGAATTTTAGAAAATAAGTTCATTGGGAATAATCAACAGACTAATCAAGTAGAGGGGAGTGAGGCAAGAAGAAATTAATGGAAGTTTCTAAAGGGAGAACTAAAGGAATTTTTTGGCTTCAGGTTTCATCTGAAATTGTATTTTTCTCATTGCAGACTTGGTGCTTTAATGATTACTATAGCTGGTATGAAGTTGCTGCGCTCATCTTTTAGCAATCCAACCTACCAGTATGTCACTATCATTTTTACAGTGCTTTTCTTTACGTTTGATTACAATCGATTCTCTGAGACCATGCTGCTAGATTTGTTCTTCATGTCCATACTCTTCAACAAGGTAAAGTCAAATATAGCATCCCCATTCTATTCCATATTAATACAAACAACTGGCAGAAACTGGCTTAGTGTAAACATCTCAACATCTGCCAGAACAAAGGGAGAAAAGGATTTTTGTGTAGCTGAGCTGTCATCTTGATCATGAACTTTTATAAAGCTCAAGCAGACTTTTTTTAACACAGATCTAGTTCATATATATTGAACTGTTATTTATTTAGCTATGGTTCACTGAATAAACTAAGTCACGTAAGCACAACCGGTATTCTTCTTCAGGTATTATTTTATTGTTTCCTGTGCGTGGTTTAGTGTGATGTAGGTTTCTGTAAATGAGTTAATAAGTAAATAGATAAAAAGGAATTGTTATGGTACCAAGTATGAAGGTAAGCTGTCCCATGTGCATTTTGGTCAATGTTGGCAAATCTCAGAAAGCTAAGTAAAATTGTACATATTAGATATGCAAAGTAAAATTGGATAATTGGACAAAGTTGGATTGGAGATTTAACAGGATATCTTAGGGTGGTATACAAAAACTGAATTTGTGAAAAAAACATCCCAGAGGAAGCCAACATAAATTATCAAGAAAATGGTTTGTTGCCAAGAAAAATACATGGGCATGTCCATGTAGTTGCCAGAAGTGTCAATTGACTCTCCTTTTAAATTTTTCTAGTTCTACAATGTAAAATAAATCTTGCAGTGCCATGTTATTTTCCCCTCAATTTTAAAAGGGAATCAAGAAAAATTCCACTTCATTTTTGTTCCTGACAATGGTCTTTAATCGGTTTAATAGGGCATGCTTTCACACGAACATGGGATGCGGTGGGTAGGTTTCTGTGGCTCTCTCAAATCGAGTTCCCTTAAGCTTTAATGGAGACATTATTCTGCATGTGCTTCAAGAGGATAAAATCCATGCATATGATTATGCTTCTGTATTGCTACTTCTGCTGGTGCTTATATTTCTAAATATTTTTTTCTGATTTCTTTTGTAGCTTTGGGAACTTTTTTACAAACTGAGGTTTGTGTACACTTATATTGCTCCTTGGCAAATCACATGGGGATCTGCTTTCCATGCTTTCGCCCAACCATTTGCTGTGCCTCGTATCCTTTTGAAATTCAAACTTATTTTAATTTGATCTCCTGAATTCTAAATCTAGTAGAGAAAATATACAGTAAGTGATTACAAAAAGCAAAGACGAATTTACATGCTCAGCGTTATAAGAAAAATCAATAGGGGACAAATATCCAGTTTCATTCTATCCTGCTAATAAGATATTTTGATCATAATTATGGCATCCTTAACTTTATTGTCTGGTAGATTCTGCAATGCTGTTTGTCCAGGCAATCGTGTCTGCCTTTTTCTCTACCCCATTGAACCCTTTTTTGGGAAGTGCAATATTTATCACTTCATATGTCAGACCTGTCAAGTTCTGGGAGAGAGATTACAAGTAGGTGTTACTGAAATCATCCAAGGCTTTCATGTATAGTATATTTGTAATGCATTGAAAAATGTTTCTTCATGAAGTTGTTGGATTGGTTCACTCTAGAATTTAAAATAATCTTTTTAATCTCAAAGGGACAAAAATGTTTCTTTTCTTGATACTATTCTGAACAGAAAACTTTTTAATAAAAAAATGAAACTACAGAACTTCTAATATTTAACAAATACTTTTTAAAGGAGTGGAAAAGATTTGAGTTTTACAGTGCAGGAGAATAAGGCATCTGCTTTTTTTCTGCCAGAGTTCTCATTTCGTCAAAATGAATTGATATGTCTTTCTAGCAAGACTTGCCAGAATTTAAAGAACTATTCGCTGTGTTTCTCCTGCTTTTTAGTAATGTTTTGATTTCTTTATTGTGTTGTCCTCCTAAAATGTCAGTTGTAAACTTTAACTTTCTGGTTGCCATAAAATTCATGAAAGTATCATTCAGAACTTTGAAAAACAGACAGGATCTGTTTTCACACCCAGAAAACATCTGGCTCAGCTTTTCTTATCAGAAAGAAGGAAAACAAATGACTGGAACTAGCACTGTTGAAAGCTGTGTTTTCAGTGCTGTAAGAGAATTGGTGTAAGCAGGGAATCAAATATTTTGGAGAGTCACCAATTAGGAAAAGCCTTTATGGTATACTAGCCTCTATATACATTTCTCCCTTATTTATTTTAAGATAAGGCATGTAAAAATGAGCCTCTGTCTGGAAGGTGGAATGGTAGGAAAAGAGATAAAGTAAGTACCCTGTGGAACTTCATTACAAGGCATTTCAGGAATACAAGCAACTCTACTCTTTTATCTTTTTTTTTTTTTCAGCACAAAACGAGTGGACCACTCAAACACAAGATTGGCTTCTCAGCTTGACAGAAACCCAGGTAATATCGATGGAAGTAGGCAGGTGGAACTGTTGAATGAATTGTGCAATGGCTCAATTTAGTCCATACCCTTTTTTTTGGTGGAAACCAAAATTAACCTGATGAAAGATGACATTTTGCATCTTTTTAGGGGTGGGGAAGAACTCTTTCTAATAGATAAGTATATTGTGTATGTGTAACAGTATATACATATTTTTATAACAAACATTAGCATTCTTTCTTTGAGAAATGTATTATGGAGGATAAATCTATGAAATCTTTTATTTTTTAGATACTGTTAGTAATTTACTTGAAATTCATTTACAGTAAATACAGTTCATTTGTAGATACTGCATTCCTTAATCATTCAAATATCTTCTTTGTTTTATTGATTTTATCTATAATCTTATCTATAGATAAGACTATATCTATAGTCTTCTTAGATGATGTGATATCTGTTACAGGTAGTCCTCGACTTACAACAGTTGATTGAGTGACCATTCAAAATTACAATGGCACTGAAAAAAGATGACATGACCGTTTTTTACTCTTACGACCGTTGCAGCCTCCCCACAGTCATGTGAACAAAATTTGGATGCTTGACAACTGACTCATATTTATGACAATCGCAGGGTCATGTGGTCATCTTTGGCAACCTTCTGATAAGCAAAGTCAATGGAGAAGCCAGATTCACTTAACAACCATGTTACTAATTTAACAACTGCAATGGTTGACTTAACAACTGTGGCAAGAGAGGTCGTAAAATGGCAAAATTCACTTAACAGCTGTCTCATTTAACAACAGCAATTTGGGGCTCAATTGTGATCATAAGTCAAGGACTACCTGTAATCAACTAATAGATTAAAATCTTTTTCTCCAATTAAACAACCACACTTTTCTAAACTACAACTTCAAAGTTACAACTAATGTTTCCTCTTTATCATCTGAATAAATCTAGAATCTTTCTTTTATGTTTTTTTCCTGTTTTTTTCTGAAAAAAATAAAACAAAATTCCACTGCTGTCCTTATGACTATTCCTCTTGGCACATTGCCACAATCCCTATTTAAGCTACCAGATATATTCTAGCAACTTGTCTTCTTGCCTAGATTCTCCTTTTCAAAAAGAGTATATCCAAATATGAGAGAGCTATCTATAAAAAATAATTAATCTTAAGCAGGGGCAAAGATTAATCCTGTATACTAAGTGCTAAAGAGTGCAAATCTTTTATTTCTACTTTGGCTATCTCTCTATAATACTATTGTAGAAAAAATAGAGAGGAAAGAGATGTGAATACTATCTTGAGTTCCTGGAGATGATTCAACACCTGATCTCTCTGACTTTTGGGATGCCCCAGCTGAGAAATTTACCTTGATGTCAAGAGAACTACATATGTTAATGTTTCCACAGTGGAAATAATATGGCTAAAAGGCAGAGGTTGAGTCAGCTAAAAGCTCTTAAAGTGATCATCAATCCCAGTCTGTTGTAATATCTTGGGGTGATTTTTCAGTAGAATTGTAAAAATAAATTTATGTTTTTAGTGCATACTGTATTATTTTTCTCCTGTATATAGGTTCTGATGACAATAACTTGAATTCAATCTTCTATGAACATTTAACTCGCTCCCTTCAGCATAGCCTGTGTGGAGACTTGCTCTTGGGCCGATGGGGAAACTACAGTACTGGAGATTGCTTTATTCTTGCTTCCGACTACCTCAATGCACTTGTACACCTTATAGAGATTGGCAACGGCTTAGTCACCTTCCAACTGAGAGGGCTTGAATTCAGAGGTAAAATCTATGTGAATGCACTTTTCATTAACCTTCCTGTACTACTTTCAGACATTGTAACATTGAATTTAGTCCATTCGATTAATAAATATTTTAGATTGAGATGCTCTGAGTCTGGGTAAAATTGACGGAGCTGAACAAAGTTCATTTTATAACCTCAGATCACTTAATCTTTACTTTCCTCAAATATTTCAACAAAAATTCTGTTACGTTTTCTTTCATTAATGAATTCTATTTTAGTCATTTCTGACACCTTTCCAATGGTATAAGCACCGTATTTTTTTAAAAAAAAAATCTACGACATCTCTAATTAAATGAACATGAACTCATGAAGGTCCTTAATTACTTATCTCAATATTACTCATCCGTTTTATACCAGACAGCAAATGCAAATAACTACTTCCAAATTATCGGAACTGGTGTGGTTAATGCTCCTATTTTTAAGAATTACTTTTTTTCGTTTCAGGAACTTATTGTCAGCAACGAGAAGTAGAAGCTATTACTGAAGGGGTTGAAGAAGATGAAGGGTTTTGTTGCTGCGAACCTGGTCATATCCCTCATGTGTTGTCCTTTAATGCTGCCTTTGGCCAGCGTTGGCTGGCTTGGGAAGTTCTAGTCACAAAGTATGTCTTGGAGGGTTACAGCATCACTGACAACAGTGCTGCTTCCATGCTTCAGGTCTTTGATCTAAGGAAAATACTCACCACATACTATGTCAAGGTACATCTCTAACTCAAGAATGTAGAATTGCTTTCCTCTTTACAAATGAGTACTAAGCTGTTTTGTCCAAGCTATTAATATCTGTGCTATCGCTATACAGGTGGTCCTTAACTTACAACAGTTTATTTAGTGACCATTCAAAGTTACAATGGCACTGAAAAAAAGTGAATTATGGCCATTTTTCACACTTACGACCATTGCAACCTCACATGATCCGAATTCAGATGCCTGGAAACCAACTCATATTTATGACAGTTGCAGTGTCCTGAGGTCATGTGATCACCTTTTGCAACCATCTGCCAAGCAAAACTCAATTGCGGTTGTAAGTCAAGGGTTACCTGTATTCCAATATTCTAATTATTTTCAGAATGCGCCTATAGAAAAAATCATAATGGCTTGAAATGTACTGGTGAGCAAAGTTGCTTTGGGGTTGAATATGTGAGAAGTCTGAACTTCAAATATAAATCTCCATCCTCCCACCCAGAGAAATTAAAAATAATAAACACTGTGCAAACTTTTCTTCTAAATGGTTTCACGTTTATTCCTGTAAACCAACAGAAAAATAATACATCTGGGTGTTTTCTTTTCTTACATTTCTATTCCTTTCCTTGGCTACTGTGGTTTGAACCCAGTTGGGTTCAACAACTACAAAGGATGTGTTTAATCCTTCTTTGTATGTTTGGTAAAAATACTTAAAGGTTACAATTAGATATATATATATATATTCTAATACCTTTGTTTTTTTTATCTTGTAGGGTATCATTTATTATGTAATATCCTCTCCCAAGCTAGAGGAATGGTTATCAAATGAAACAATGCAGGAAGGACTGCAGCAATATGCAGACCAAAATTATGTAGATGTAGACCCTACATTTAATCCTAATATTGATGAGGATTATGATCATCGCCTAGCAGGGATTTCAAGAGAGAGTTTTTGTATAATTTATCTCAACTGGGTAGAATATTGCTGCTCTCAGAGAGAAAAAGTAAGTACTTTTGAATGCTTAAGGAATTCTATGAAGATATGGTATCTTATCTCTCAAAGAGCATCTAAATCCTGAAAATCCTGTGGAGATGTCAGGAATGTACAACACTGAAAGTTGAACTTCTTAGCCGAGTCCCACTTATGTATTTGTTTAAAGTATTTATATTACCTCTAAATAGAATTTACTGCTACCAAGAACCTATTCAGTAATACTGTATTCCATTTGCTGATGATGGAACTTTATAAAGGCTTGCAGCCACTTTTATTAAAGTGAAAGTCTGTGTCCCATTTTGGGTATTACTCTCTATGTTCTTTTTCTTAAGAAAGGAGAAAACAATCATGAAAAATTACAGTTTGAGTAATACGATGGAACATACCATACAAACATCTTATATGCTTTACCTAATGTTTTCAATTTTTGTTTTTGTTTTTACTCAAAGCCACTCAATGCAGATAAGGATTCTTCTCTGGTTACCCTTTGCTACGGGCTGTCTGTTCTTGGTCGGAGAGCTCTGGGAACTGCTTCACATCATATGGCTAGGTACTCTTCTTTATTATTCTAGAATAGGTCCCCTAGAATATGGCTATACCTTTTTCTATTCCCACTCTTAATTTGACTTACCAGATTTGAGTAGCTGATTTCACTCTCGAAATTTTAGTGACAAATTCTGGCAGGATGCTTAACAGGAGAGGAAACTTATCCTGCTGCAGTTTTCCTCCATAAACATTTAGTATTTAGAACTCTTATGTCTCTCATCTAGATGATTGTAAGAAAATATTTTCAGTAAAAAAAAAAGTTGCAACTCCTTTATGCAGGATGACTGTTTGTTAGGCCCATAGCATTCTCTAAACTTGCTTTTCTCCATCCAAATATTTTATGGCCAGCCTAGCTAACCTTATCAGTGCATGGAGAAATTTGCTGCCTGCTTTAATTAGTGTATTTGTTTCTTCTTTGGTTGTTGATTTAGTGATGGTTCCTGTTCTGGCATTGGTTAATAAGTGCAGAATGATGACAGATGTACTTAGATCTGTTTGCCCCTTTCTTTGATTTTTGGTTGCTTCCTTTTTGGAATGGCTCATAGCTAGACCTTATCTCAGTATGTCTGTTAATGGCTAATTTCTCAGAGTGATAGAACTTTAAAGCAGTGTTTCTCAATCTGGCAGCTTGAAAGTATGTGGACTTCAACTAACAGAATTCTGGAAGCTGAAGTACATAAATCTTCAAGCTGTGAAGGTTGAAAAACACCGCTGTAAAGAATATACTTGCATTTTTAGATCTTTTGTTTCTATTATAGTCATTGACCAGCACTGAGTTGGTATTTGAGACAAGCTCAATTTATAAACATCGAGAAGAAGAAAAGGGAACTTGGAGAATGCCAAGAACCCAATAGTTCAACTCTGGGCTACGTATATTCTCCACTAGAATTCTCAGTCTGTTGTAAAATGAATATAGAAATTTAACACACATGATGAATGAATGATGATGGGGAACATCAGAAATCTTTCCTTTAACTTCAAGAACAAAATAAGTATAAAATTGATTTTGATGGAATTGAAAGACTCTGAGACACAGAAATAATTTGTCAGCAAATAGGCCAGATGCTTATTCAGTAAATAACTGCTAAGTACAAGGTAAAGGAAGTTTCCAGATAAAACTACTGCTGTTCTCATTAATCCAAAGAATTTATGCCACTTTTCTATCAAGTAATTTGAGGATGATTAGTTTTCCTTTAGTGTTTCAGCCATTGCTTGAATACATAGCCAGAACAGATGAGGAATTGAAGAATGGTTGTCAGGTTTTTTTTTAAACGCTCCTGATTTATATTTGTTTATGATGGCAATTTAAATTTGCTCTGGCAGTCCACAGTGTTTATAAAGAAATGAAAGTCTTACTTTCTTCAACTAATTTTAGAATACTGAATGCTTGCTTTAATGTTTGGGGTTTCTCTCCCAAACCAAACAGTAATCTGGAATCTTTCCTGTATGGGCTCCATGCCTTGTTTAAAGGAGACTTTCGTATATCATCAATGCGAGATGAATGGATTTTTGCAGACATGGAATTACTGAGGAAAGTGGTGGTCCCTGGGATACGGATGTCACTAAAACTGCACCAGGTATAAAGAATGCTTGCACACACGTACATCAGCTGAAAGTGACACAGATTATTATAACTCAAACTCTGTGGGTAAGAGATTTGTAGCAAACCTTGGTAAAAATTTGATTCAAGAGCAAATGGAGCTTTTGAAAAAGGAGTCACTTTTAATAACGTATGAGGAAAAATTTTAATTGAGAAATGAATGCCAAAACTAATTTATTTATTTATTTGTTTTCTGTTGCCACCTATCTCAAGCAAGTGTCTCTGGTTATATAATCTGGTAAATTTGATAAATTTACTAGTCAGTCACTGAGATGGGTGGCTTTAGAAGTAGAGAGAGAGAGAGAGAGAGAGAGAGAGAGAAGGAAGGAAGGAAGGAAGGAAGGAAGGAAGGAAGGAAGGAAGGAAGGAAGGAAGGAAGGAAGGAAGGAAGGAAAGATTGGTTCATACCAATGTATTTGTATACATAATTGAAACGTATTAAAATAATGTTGTCCCAGTAGATTGAAAAATACATGGATATTGACTGGCGATACCATTCTTTGTCAGTTTATTTAGGATAATTTATCAGGAAAGGAAAACATTATCAGGAAAGGGAAACTCTCAAGAAGTAAATTGGCTTTGAATTTTTTTCAGTTACCTGTTTAAACAGGATTTATTTTCACAACTAGCTTCATAATTAAAGATATATAAGTTATGTGAATTTGCTTTACTGTCCATATTAGCAGGATGAGCAGTTCAATCTAGAGTGAATAGATGGTTTGAATAGATATTTTAACAGATCTGTTTGGTTTTTTTTTTTTTAAACAGCTTCTATTTTTTTCTTGCAAGGCTACCTCATGTAAGAAAGAACATGTTACTTGGAGTGAGCAAATTTGGGGGAAATGGTTGGAATAAAATGGAGAAGGGAAGAATTGAGCATCTAGCAATTGAAGGGAACAGACTATACCTTTCAATGTCACTGACTGCAAAATTCCCTGGTATTGTTTTATCAATTTTTCCCTGGTCTCCAGTGTTTGGCTATTTTCTCATTTTTTTTTAATACCAAACTTTCAGAAGCATATATTCATTTTCATATGCATTTCTTAAAAACAAGTGCAATTTTCACATCTTTTTGACAAGAGAAAAACTATGTTTGTTCATTGCATTTGTTATTGCCATGGTGCCAGATCTCACAAATCCACCCCTGGAAAAAAATTTATGGCTGAGTTGTTTTACATCTCAGCTTAAAACCTAGACTGTGATCTATGAATGCTTATACAGTAGTAAATTTGTTAGTTTTTAGGGAAACAGACCGTACTTCATTGTTTAGATCTTTTTTTTTAAGTTGATAATTAGATGTAACCTTAAATAATTGAGTTTGGCCAAATATAAACTTTGACTGTATAATTTTAATATAGACTAAAACAGTGTTCCTCAACCTTGGCAGCTTGGAAGATGTGTGGACTTCAGGTCCCAGAATTTCCCAGCCAAACTTGCTATTCTGGGAGTTGAAGTCCACACATTCTCAAGTGCCAAGGTTGAGCAACTCTGGACTAGAATATAATCATTTCTCTTTTCACAATAAAGGCTCATATTGAAGAGCCAATGTATGAAGAATAGGTTAAGGAGACCAGGTTAATTTGGAGTAGGGATTTTGGTTTCAGTATCGACCTGCATATTTGGCAAGAACTGTGGGAAAGGAATTGGAAACTCACCTTATAAGGAAAATCCTTACAAGATGTTTATAGATGGCATTTCCCACCTGTAAGGCTAGCTAAAATGGGTTCAAACATCTCACCCCTATGCTGGAAATGTAAAACAGCAATAGGTTCATATTACCATATGTGGTGGGAATGCCCAAAGACTCATGAGTATTGGACAGGACACAAAACTGGTTGAGGGATATATTAACACTGGATTTGGAGTTAAAACCTGAACTCTTCTTGTTGGGAATAACGACAGAAAAGTACGACAATCTACCTGCTGCTACACTCCTGACTGCAGCTAGGCTTGCTTTAGCGCAAAAATGGAAGAGCAAGGAAATTCCCACAGAGGAAGAGTTAATACATAAAATGTTAGCATGTGCGGAAATGGACAGGCTCACAATGATATTAAAAGACAAATGTGGATCAGTTTATTATGAAACCTGGGATAAATTTTACCACTGGAGGAATTTGAAGAGGACGGTTGGGATTAAAGATGAATGTTAAGATAGAAATATATGTTATTTTAGAACAAGTATTGTATATAAAACTTAGATGTATATGTAGAGATGAAGAATTGATTGTAAAAAGTGGAATAATCTGATAAGAATGTATATACTGGAATGTCACATTAAATCAGTGCTTCTCAACCTGTGGGTCGGGACCCCATTTGGGGTCAAATGACCATTTCACGGGGGTCACCAAACCATGCTGTCCGCCATTTTTTCCCTTTTCCCTAGCTGTCCTACTCCCTCTTATTGGTGACCACACCCACTTGGGGGTCACCACAACATGGGGAACTGTATTATGGGGTCACGGCATTAGGAAGGTTGAGAATCACTGCATTAAATCCAATGTTTGTTTGTTTTTAACTGTATTATAAATAAAATTTGGAAAAAAAAGAGTGCTTTTGCTCTTCTGTTTAGGATCATTTCACCTCTCCCGATGAATACGATGATCCTGCTGTTCTCTATGAAGCTATCACAACGCACGAACAAAACCTGGTTATAGCTCATGAAGGGGACCCTGCTTGGCGAAGTGCTGTACTTTCCAATTCTCCCTCCCTACTTGCCCTTCGTCACGTGATGGATGACGGCACCAATGAATACAAGATCATCATGCTGAACAAGCGTTATCTAATCTTTAGAGTCATTAAAGTAAGATACTTTTAATGGGGTGGATGAGACACACCTATTCTAGGATGAGATGTAATAAGTGGGGAGGATAGGCATTTATTAGTTTATGGTATGAAATTGGTGTTTTGATTTTTGATTCCTTTTTTAAATGCTGTGATTTTGTTAAGCAATTCTTTGATGTTAAATTGTTTTAGGTTTTTAAATATTTTGATTAAGGAAACCTGCAGGACTTGCAGACTAGGCAAAGAAAAAAAACAGTTATATTTTATATTTAATTCCATAATTGGGAGAAGTGTAGCACAGGCACCTCTATCTTGCTAGTCTTACTTCCAACAGCAAACTGATAACAGTTATCTATTTCTTGTATATAAACAAATTTTAAATTTTGTTTACGCCAACACTTGCTTGGAAGTAGAATAAATAATTATATAATAAATGCATGAATGCTTTCCATAAAGTTAAACACAGAGTCTGCATGTTTCTGAAGTAATTAAATGAATTTTAATTATTTTTCTAAAAGGTAAAACTTTAATGTATAATTTTAAAATTGTTGAAATCTTGAGAGTATTTATGATTAAGATGGAAGTGTGTGTGTGTGTGTGTGTGTGTGTGCACGCGCATGCACACCTATATCCTGTTTTCAGTATGCATTTAAAAAGCGTCTATGAAGATTCTCAATTGGACTTTCTTGGGTTTTTTTTCCTTTGAAAATGTTTCACTTCACATCCAAGATGCCTCTTCAGTTCCCCACTGAAGAAGCTTCTGAGATGAGAAATGAAATGTTTTCAAAAGAAAAAAAACAAAAAACAAGAAAAGCACTTTTGGGACCTTTAAAAGATGATTGTAATTTTAGACTACTTTTGTACTAGTAGATTTATTTGGTAAAATCAGTGAATATTTCATGTCATAAGATTCATGTAGTTATAGCTGTCTTGATTTGCATTTTGCCACACTATTTTTCTTACATATCTTCCCCTTTCTGTGTTTTTGCAGGTAAATAAGGAATGTGTCCGTGGCCTTTGGGCTGGGCAGCAGCAGGAGTTGGTCTTCTTGCGCAATCGAAACCCAGAAAGAGGGAGCATCCAAAATGCAAAACAAGCTTTGAGGAACATGATTAACTCATCTTGTGATCAGCCTATTGGATACCCAATTTATGTCTCACCTCTGACAACTTCATATTCTGATAGTCATGAACAGCTAAGAGAGATTCTTGGTGGTGCCATCAGTCTGGGAAACATCAAGAACTTCGTAGTATCTACATGGCACAGGTGAGTAAAAAAAGTCTCCAGAGTACAGTTGCTCATTTTAGTATATTTAATTAGAATGGTACATTATATAGTTTTTTGTTTTATCACTTTTCCTTTTACGATGCAAATCCAGAGTAAGATTCCTGTCAAAACAAGGATATTGCTTTTATTAGAAATTTCAGTACATTGTCAACAGTCACTTTAATCTCAGTTGCATTATTTACCTCCTGCAAACATTAACTATGGATAAAATTTGCTTTCTGTGAAACTCTGTTCCAAACACAGAATGCTCCCTTAATAAACCCAATTTTCTCTGGAATTCACAGTTCCAGGATGATTTTTAAGTTTCTGAACGTAAATTAAGTAATACAGTCTTATCTGTTTTGTTTCTCCCTACAACAACACTCAATATAGCTGAGAAAACTAGTGTTGTGTTAAATAACTTTTGGACAGGGCCCGCTTGTTCAGCTTTACCTATCTCAAGAAATTGTTATGAGATGCCATCATGAATTTCTGGAAGAAAATGTATGATAAATAAACATGAAAAATATAGGTCAAGATATCTTTGGAAGATTTTGATGTTTACTTTCTTAGTCTGCTTGCTATTGTTTTTTTATTATTCTTATTATGTTCAGGTTAAGAAAAGGCTGTGGTGCTGGTTGCAACAGTGGAGGAAACATTGAAGACTCGGATGCTGGAGGTGGTGCTTCCTGCACAAGTAATAGTGTAACTGCCAATGATTCTCAGAGCAGTGTATCTCAAAGTGGTGGGAATGCAACTGTTGGACAGGGATCTGGAGTAGGATTGCATCCTCCTGTCACATCTCATCCAGTCACCCTAGGTAAAACTGAACTAGTGTCTGAGAGTGTATATATTCAAATACCTCACTGCCAGATTGGGATAATTAGACTTTGAAACATTGTTGTTTTAACTTCTGTCTTCCCATCAACAGTGTCTGTTAAGCATGTTTGGAATCCACAGGTCCCATACCATCCATTCACCTTGCGGCTTTGGTGATTCTGTAGAGGATAATAAGAAAGATACAGTGTACTTTTTCCCGTGAAGATCAGCACACATATAAAAGACATAAGTCATCCTCCAAAATCTCAGTATCATGAAGCTGCATGCATTTCTCAAGTGGAAAATTCTGAGACCAATTCTAAAATAGCAGTTATTTTGGTAGAAATAACTGGTTTGGACTCTAGCCTTGAGGCACACTCAGCCTGCCTTGGTTATCTGGGAAGAGTTTGACCCTGTGGGTCTTGATGACAGGACAAGGGTTCTTGGAATTCTTATTTCAGTCATCTGTATGTTGACCCATATTCTTCCTGGTTAGCCCAGGCTTCCTTGAATTGTGACATATGGCCATGGCACTAGCAAATTCCTCATTGAGTGAGGGAGTGGTTTTACCACTGCTTAAAGAGGCAGTGGTCTCACCACTGCTCAGGAAGCCATCGCTGGATTCAACCTTTTAGGATAACATTGATTCCGTCTCCAATCTTTTCTTTCTAAAAAAGGCTATTGAGAATGTGGTTGTACAGCAGCTTTAGAGAGTTCTGAAGGAAACAGATTATCTTGACTCTTTTCAGCTGAGTTTCAGACCAGGCATGAGACTAAAAGAACACTGATTGCATTTGTGGATTACCTCCGTGGGAGAGGGATAGGGGTGCTATGACCATCCTGCTCTTCTTGATCTCCTTGATCTTAGTGTCCTTCAATACCACTGATCATGGTACACTTCTAAACCAGCTCTGAAGAGTGGGAGGTACAGTTGCAATGATTTTCCTCTTTTCTTCAGGGCCAGTTCTGGTTAGTGTTGATGGGGAGAGAGGGAAGAGAGAGATCTAGCTCATGACCCCTTCTTTCCTCAAGGCTAACTGATTTTCCCATTCCTATTTCTCATCTATATGAAGCAGCTGGGCAAGCTCATCTAATGGTAGGGGTGATACTCAGCCACTCAGAGTCACCTTGAGCCTGCTTACTCCAGGACTCAATAGGTTGATAAAAACACCAAATCCAGTCTAAACATTTGGCTGGCTGTGTGACAGACCAACAACAACAACAATAATAAAAAAGATTGTATGCTGCTGTTATCCAGCTTTGTACTTGCACTATACTTTGTTCAGTGTTATGGTATCTGAATGGAGAGACTGGGCTTCAGCTCAACCCTGGCAAGACTGAGTGACTGTGGTTTTAGGGTCTGCCAGATCCAGGAGTTTTCCATCTTTGGTTACGCTGCCCCAAACAGATCTAGTGCACAATTTGGGAAGTTCTTCTTGACTCCAAAGAGCAAGTGATAGCCATGTGTAGGAGGATTTTTTTGTTTTGTAAAGCAGTTGTACATCTTCCTGCAACAGGAGGCTCATGGTCACTCCTGCCTTGGTCATCTAATGAGTAGATTACTTTTATGTATTGTCATGGCGATGTGCTATATGACTATCCAGAAGCTGCAGCTGGTCTAGAATGCAGTGATGCAGGCAGAAATGGGCATACCTTAGTAGGCCCATATTACACCTTAGTTCCATAAGCTCCACTGTTTTCCAGTGTGCCTCCAGATGGAATTCAAAGTGTTGGCTCTCATCTATAAAACTTCAATTGAATGTAGCCAGATTATTTGCCAGAATGTCTTTCTCCAATTGTTTCTACCTGTGTGACAGGAGAGGCATGCTCCTATCCTTTTAACTAAAAAAATGACACAGGACTTGGGAAACACATCTTTTCTGTCATAGCACCTGCCCTCTGGAAAACCATATTCCCCAAAACTAGATTGGCTCCAACCTTACTAGCTTTCCATAAGGCCAGCGCTATAAAGTGCTAAAACTGGAATGTGCTCCAAGTTTGGGAGTTGAGAGGTTAGATGACCTTTTGAGTAGTTTCTGTTTCTGTCGGGTCCATTCTTGGTAGTCGTTGTTGGTTTTTCACTTCACCTTTGCTGATCAACAATATGGTCAACTGGTCATATTTTCCATATGGGCCATGTAAATCCACTTAATGATTAATTAATTACCACATTTGCATTTCATTACCCAGTGAAAGATCTGAATTAACTTTGCACATTATGTCAAGATCATCTTAAATAGTTTCTTGGAGTTATTTTCACTATATGGGAAGTTCTTTGTAGAAACCACACCACACAAATCAAATAGTTGTATTTATGCCTTATCCCTCCTCAGATGATAATACCAAAAACTAAAATGTCCAAAACAAATAAACAGCTGGTTACATTTCGAAAACAGTCATACAGAGCAATAGTCAATCAATCAATCAGAATAGATTGGAGGTCGTTTAGTCCAACCCCTTGCTGAAGCAGGGGACCTTATACCAGGGGTCTCCAACCTTGGCAACTTTAGGATTTGTGGACTTCAACTCCCATGGCTGGCTGAGGAAATCTGGGAATTGCAGTCCACAAGTTGTAAAGTTGCCAAGGTTGGAGATCCCTGCGGCCTATACCATTTCAGACGAGTGGCTGTTCAGTCTCTTCTTAAAAAACTAGAGTGATGAAACAGTTAATAGGCATTGCTGCTTCTAGAAGGAATTGATCCAGAATCTAATTTGAATTTTAAACAGCATCCAAACTTTTTCAATTTTCCATTCAAATTTACATCCTTGGAATAGACAAACTATAGCCTGTGCTCATATACTTTATTTTTAGGCACCAGCCAAAGTGCTCATTCTGTGCAGTCAAGCCTTATCAGACATTCCCCTGCTCGTGCCTCAGTTGCCAGCCAGTCAACTTACTGCTACAGCAGTCGTCATTCATCCCTCCGAACATCCACCACGGGCTTTGTGCCTTGCCGACGGTCTTCCACCAGCCAGCTTTCCCTTCGCAATCTTCCCTCATCCATACAGTCCCGTCTGTCCATGGTGAACCAAATGGAACCCGCTAACCAGACTGGCATTGCCAACATGCAGCATGGCCTCCCTTCTTCAAGCAGTTCCAGTCAGAGCATCCCAGCCTGCAAACAGCATGCCCTTGTTGGCTTTTTAGGGACTGACGGAACGACGAATGCCACCGATTCACAGGCAGGCACAAATGTGAGCCCTGTGAGCCAGGCACAAACCAAAAGGGATGATGTTGTTTACAGAATTCAGGTAAATGAAATGTAGGAACTGATATGGTTTATATCCCTTTACTACCTAATGACTATTTTTATGGCTGGACAGTTATGTGTTTATTTTTTTAATCTTCCCTATGCTTCTGGAATGCAACCCTGTGGAATGAAACACTAATTCTTAATATACAGAATTCGCTGAAGACTTCAGATGTAACACTGAAGTCTCTAGGGCTGGTATCCTCTAGGGCAGGGCTTTTCAACCTTTTCACCCATTGTGCCACTTTTAGGATATGGCAACATCCGAGTACCACCAGTCGCCTAGGAAGGTGTCAAAAACTTGATGACCAAAAAAAAGGAAGAAAGTGATAAAGTACAGGTAGTCCTCGACTTACAACAGTTCGCTTAGTGACTGTTTGAAGTTACAATAGCACTGAAAAAAGTGCCCCCCAAGGCACAGCCGAGCAAGACACCTGCCTGCGGTGCTCTTCCTCCTGTCCGAGGTTTTCATTGTTGTGAGCATTTCTGTTGAGGATTGGCAGTGGGGGTGGGGTGGGGGGGTGTTTGGTTTTTATCCTCCCCCCCCCCGTCTGCTGGGTGGCTGCAGCAGGTTTTGGTCACTTCACGTGACCCTGGGACATTGTGATTGTCATAAATATGAATCAGTTGCCAGGCATCTGAATGTAAATCACAAGATCCTGGAGATGCTGCAACATTCCAGCTGATTGGTGCTTTTTCAGGGCTCAGCAGAAGCACTAGGATCAGTGCCAAGCTCCAGCTGGAGCCTGGCGCTGATCCTGGTGCTTCCACTGAGCCCTGACAGCCCCGAAGAAGCACTGATCCTGGCGCTTCCGCTGAGCCCTGACAGCCCTGCAGCTCCAGCCATCTCTCGCTCAAGCTTGTGCGATGCTGCCACCGGTTCAGCTCATTCCCCTCCCCCCTACCACTTTTCTAGGATGGCCGCATACCACCTGCCAGGTGCCAATGTACCACAGGTGGTACCCATTCCACTGGTTGAAAAGCCCTGCTCTAGGGCTGTGCTGTGCTTTGGCTACACTTCGAAAATGGTGCTTCATGGTATACATTCACCAAAGAATAGAGAATGAATAAGGCAAAGATATGATCAGGGAATAAAGATCTTTGTATCACAGGAAAATATGGTGCAAGTTAAGTATTAAAGCTGTTTCAACAATTTCTGTAAAGTTACAATAATACTATTAGGTGGGGAATTAAGCAGTGATTTGTTTCATTGAGTCTCCACGTTTCAGTGTTTTTACATTAAATAGGTTTGCTTGTCTAATGTTGCTTTGAGGTCCAAGCTTGATGACCCAAGTTTGGAACCTGAGAAAAGCATTAATGGGAAACAACAAATTATATCATATTTCCTTTGTGTTCTACTCAAACTAGTTGTAGGAGTGTGAAGTTTGTTGAAATATATCTCCTTTCTTATTTTGCTGTCTATGGTTTTCTGTGTTTGGAATCCAGTTATACTTGGAGGGATATGCAAAACATTTCAAGTTGAAAAAGTTTTGACCTGTTTCAAAATGGGGCATTTCAAACTCAGTTCTTGCATAGCACTAATTTTAAGCTGCTTCTTTTTTTAGATAATAGATCCTAGCCAGATTTTGGAAGGGATCAACTTATCCAAAAGAAAAGAATTGCAATGGCCAGATGAAATGATAAGACTAAGAGCTGGAAGAAACAGCTGGAAAGACTGGAATCCTCAGGAAGGCATGGAAGGCCATGTGAGTTTCATTCCTCAGTTGCCTTTGTTATTGGCATGCTCAGAGATTATACTGATTGTACGTAAATTCAAAAAGTGGAGCAATAAGAAAAAAACTAATTCTATAAATTCTAAATTATAACAATAGACGGGAATATGCATCATATCTCTTTGCATTATGTGTTCTGGAAATCTTAACTTTTAAAAAAAAAAACTTTCTAGAAGGTATTTTCTTCTGTGAAATATAGGAATATTTCTATTATTATTTTATTCTCAATATTGTAGCAGAGAAGATTCTTACCAATAACTTTCAAAAGTAGAATCAGAATAGTTTCTGTGCTGGAGCAACAATATAGATAAGTAAGATCTGAAAGCCTAATCTTGATCCTCACGTAGTCTGTATATATTACTTCAGAATGATAAAGTTCTAGTATTACAGCTGAATATATTTTCTTTGCTTGCTATCCCTGCTAGGTGATTCACCGTTGGGTGCCTTGCAGCAGAGATCCAGGGCATAGGTCCCATATAGACAAAACCATCTTGCTCGTCCAAATTGAAGACAAATATGTTGCAGTGATTGAAACTGGAGTCCTGGAACTTGGGGCTGAAGTGTGACCTTCTTGGACAATTAAAATCTAGTCCATCTCCACAATGTTTAGAAATGAAGTAAGGAGTCTCAGAAGAATACTCTAACACAGTGTTTCTCAACCTTGACAATTTTAAGGCATGTGGACTTCAACTCCCAGAATTCCACAGCCAGCATTGCTGGCTGTGGAATCTGGGAGTTGAAGTCCACATGCCTTAAAATTGTCAAGGTTGAGAAACACTGCTCTAACAGCTTAAGTAACAGGAAGAGGCTTGAAAATGAAATTAAGGGTAGGATGTCAGTCTCCAAAACAATTAAGGGGAAGCTTTTGATCTTTTTCAAGTTAGCTACTGAAGAAAATATTGTGCATGAAGGGTAAACAGGATGTATCTTTTGCTTTATACATTATTTTATCCATTGCAATGCTTTAAAACAATCCCACATTTTCCAAGTTTCAAAACAGGAGCATCTCGTTTTTCTAATTGTCTTGCCAAAAATATTTTGTCTCATTAATGTAGATTCAATTCATTTTTTAAAGCAGCTGAAAACTGTATAAATGTTGAGGTCAGTGTGAAGCTGAATAGAATGTTTCATCAACTGCAAGTGTAACCAGATTTCAAACTTCTTATTTCTTCTAAGTGGAAAAAAAAGATGATTGAGAAAACTGCACTATTTTTTTTTATGGCAATGCACTACAAAAATCTGAGATTGCTCAGAACATTTATTGATATAAATATATATATATAAAAGAAAATACCGTTATTTAAATTGCCTTTGGGATTAACCACCTTCTCCTCCATATGGTAGGAAGTATCATTGGTTCATTTTTGGCTTAAAATTGCCCAGCAACTTATTTATTCTGTCCTATTTAAAATATATGATGGATTACCAGTAATTATAGAAGAAAACTACAGGGAAGCCTACTCGTGGTGAAACCAATTAATAGTGTATTTTTTTTTACGATGGGCTCAATCATACAATTGTGCATATTTTTTCTCTATTTTTGTTATTTTTGTTATTTTCCAATATGGAGTCAACAAAAATATATGACTGGGCTCCTTTGGAAAACTGGATGAGATACATTGTTTTAAATAAGGTTGTGACTTTATCTCTGTTTTCGGACTTACTCCTTTATTAAGCAAAATAGTTTACTTTTTTAAAAAACGAAAAGACAAAAATCAGAAGGCATGTTGTATCGTATTATCTGTATCATTTTGCGTTTTAGTTCCTTTTAGTTGCTATTATGTTCTGTGACTTGAATTTATTTTCAGTAATTATATATTCTATAATAATTGTACTTTGCATATAACTGTGAAACTGATTTATGTTGCATATCATCGATTTTTACTGATTGGAATTTTTAGTGTGTGTTGTCAGGGAAACAAGTTACTCCAACAGCAACAGAGTAAGGGGACAAAATTGCAATTTTTTTATCTTGCTGTTTCTATGACTTGCTCACAATGTTAATGGAAAGTTTTATGTGCAGTAGTTATTTCCTTCATGTGATCTGAAAGCCTGGGCTCAGTGGGAAACAGAACAATTTGCAGTTGTAGCTTTTAGAAGCAGCCATCTTTTATTTTTTAACTATTCCTGTGTTGGGTTTACAAGCAAGAAATTGCAGTGAAACATAACCATTGTACATTTAATGAACATAGCCAAATGATGTCACAACATGAACAATCCGATACCATAAAAAACAGCCTTTGCAGCTTGCTAAGAATATACTATAGCAGTAAAATGCAAATGCTATTCTTACTGTATTATAATCTTGACCAGGTCACATATTTGCAAAGCTGTTCACTGCTGCAGATAATTGTTTTTAGCATCTGAAAACCACAAAATTTGTGTGTGGGGGGAGCAGCATTAATAATAAAATATAGAAAAAAAGCTTCAAAAAGATGTTGCTGTTCTGGTAAAATATACATCACCTGCTAATGTCTGAATGCCCCCAATTTAAACCCTGATGCTATCATATTTTCATCATTTTATGAACAAGAGAAAAACCATTTTCTGAGTTTTGTCAGCCATCTTTCTTCATAATTTAACTGACAAATATTCATTTATCTTTTTGATTTTCCTAAAAATAGAAAGAAACGCAATCTACCTTTCAAAAAGATTAATCAGTCATTTTGAATATATTAAATCCATTGATAAAGAGAGTGCTTTGGAAGGTTAACTGGAATGAGGCAATAAAAACTGTAATGTGGAAAAATGGATTTTTCTGATAAGATTTTTCTTTCCTATTTTTAATTATTAATAGGAACAAAAAATGGCACTCTGACAGGATACTCCACACTACTGATTATATAGGTTTATTGAAAGATTATAATTTCAAGACTTTTGATATGATTATATGTAGATACATTTAGACTGTGATAAATTTAGTTTAAATAACTGAAAACAAATTACTTGATTAGCACAATCTCAATCACATCTTTGTTAGATATAAATCTCATATAATTAGTATTCATGAGAATATATATTTAGTTTTATTTCCAAGTTTTTAAGATGTTCATTTCCCAATAATTTGGTGGAATATCCTTTATTTGGATTAACTATTTAGTATTTATGAAAAAAAATTCTTTGCTTGTTGCGGTACATGAGCTTGAAAGCCAAATTAATAGTTTTGCAGTTTTTCATATGTGGACTTAGTGGCTTTCTTCATTAATTTCTCCAACTAGTTATGACAAGCATTCTGAAAACTTTACATTTTTTTTGCAGTTGATACTAAGTCTTGTAGAAAACTAGTAATCCTCTAAATTAATTTCTAGATTAAGCTATAATATTTATGTAGAAAAAGTTTATGAAAGTCAATTTGCCTACTATCGTTTATAAATATATGCATAATAAACTGATAATCCAACTAGGCACTAATTTAATGTAAAATCACAGACATATACTTAGCTTCCCAGTTAATGTTTTGGGAAATTAAAGAAGAAATTTCTTTTACCTCGTGAAGTGCGTTAATTTTCATAAAGAACAAAATCTTATTATTGCTTAATATTGAGGTAATGTTCTGTAGATGTTCTTGTAACCTAGGAAATAGATATGGAGGGAAGGAAAATGTTTTTGAAAAATTATATCTTTTACAAGGTGTTTTTTTATTATTTGTTGCTTTTTCTACCCATGCTTGCTGCTGTTGGAGAATGACTAGTTGCATAGCTGCAATGTTGTGTGAAAATATTGAATAAATGGTACAGAGTGTTATGGAAGAGGCCTTTGAAAACTTAGATTTGGGGGTAAATTTTACCCAAGCTGACATTGAAATGCCTTCTTAACAGATGAGATAAAGCAATGATGCCAGCCAGCCCTTCAGTTCTATACATTTTAAGTGGTAATAACTCTGCCAATGGACTAGTGCATTTGAAAGAGCTTTTCAAAGACTATCTAAATATTTCTTATGTGCTGTAGCTTCAGCCACCTTGGTTTTATATACTTAATTTTATTAAGAGAGATTTTTCTTACCTATTATATAGGTTCTACTTGTCTGGTCCTACTTGGTGATTGGTAACCTGATGCCATTAGCCCTGCAATGCTAGACAGTATAAGAATTATAGCAGTATTTAATGTGTGCCTTAGTAAAATGGTGATGAGTACATAAGACCTTGGTGGGAGCTAATGCCCATATCTAGTTTTCCCAAAATTTTTTAAAAGATGGCTGCTCTAAAAGGCTGCACCGTTCATCAGCAAATATATTTGAAAATACCATTTAGATATTTATACTAACTTTACACATGACCCAAATGGATGACAAAAGTCACAAAGGTTAAAAGTCAAACGTTACTTCTTTATGAACTCAGCCAGATAATGAACTGCTTATTATTACCTTAAATAATGGGAGGGTGAAGATAAAATGAGTTGGAAAATGGAATATGTGCTTTGCATTTACCAGCATATGGAGAACTTGCCAGGGATAGGGTTATGTGTACTTTGTATGTGTCAGTGAGAGTATGAGCGTGTGGGTGTGTGTATGTTGTTTGAAACAGCCTGTAAATATTGTCGCTGTTTAAAACTGGGAAAAGTTGACAGGATTTGTTTGTAACATGTTGCTTTGAAAAGACAGTATTGACAGTGAAGAAACAACAAAATTTAAAAAAAATCTTCTTGTCCCTTGTTTTATTTTCATGTTCGGTTTTTTATATTGGAGACTTTTAAACAACTATGTATAAATGTTATATGTTTCACTATTCTTTTTCCCTTGAAAAACAATGGTGAAAAATGTTCTGGTTAATATACCTTCTCTTCTGTTCTTTAAATAGAAATGACTTTATGTATTCTTCCATTGCCAAGCTCCAAAACTGTCATTTATTGAAAGGTTTTGCATTTTTATAGAAGTGCATTTTATTGTACTCATGCTATATTTTAGCTCCTGTTATTATCATTATTCTCATTACATTCATGATAAATTTCAGAAGGGCATATCCCTTTCTTTCTAACCCCTCTCGCCCCCCCCCAAATGAGATTAGTCTTATATAAGATTGTAGTAATATTCAGTAACACTTAATACACACACTGCCTGAGGTAAGATCACCTGACCAATATTATTCAGTCTGTAAAAAGAGACCCTCTGATAGTAACCTTTTCTAGTAGCAGGTATATTGGAGGTGCTCTTGGGATTTTTCTGTATGCAACACTTTGAATTATGACTGAAACCACGAGGAGTACATGGATTTGAGAAACATGTCAGAAGAAATAAAGTGAGGCAATCCTACTTAAGTATAAAAAATATACTGACTTTGAATACAGGAAAATTCAAAATCAACCATTCAAAACTCGGAGAGACAGATTTCCTAGTTTGCTTTTTATCATTGCTTTTGTCTATAAGAATTTTTGCAAATTCATACAAAATATAAAACCAGATAAACCAAGGAATAATGATTGCTTATGGCCATGTAATAATTCTCTGATTAAATTAAGAATTGATGCAGAGACTTCACAGTTTCTCATTCTTATCTGATAGATTATTCTTCCACATTAAATGGTCTCCAGAGATTTTGATCACAACTCAAGGTGATTTAAGGAGCTGGTGCTGGTAAATAAAATTTCAGGAAGGAATGTTGGATGTAAGAAAGGAAAGACAAGACATTTTAGAAATTGTATTGTCGGAACAGTGAAAGATGTGAATAATTCTGAAAGGGAAATGAGCTAATGAAAGATAGGAGAGAGAAGTTTGTGCTAAATAAAGGCCAGTATTTTAATAGAGGAACTTATGTCATTTGACAATACAGTACACTTTGGAGCACAATAAAGAGAGAAGAATTACATTGTGTGAGAAGTAAAAAAGGAAGTTAGAATGATCAGGATAGAATAGGAAATGGTAGGAGTGAAGACAACAGTGTCAAAAAAGGGTATAAACAGAGAGTTGAGTGTTATGCATAATACATGTATATAAATGGGGTGGGTGGGTGAAAATGAGCCAAGACATGTAAATAATTTGCCATAAGAAATGTCAAAACTATAATTTCACATCCACATGATTTTGTTTTAGCTTTCAGCCAGAATAGGTCATTTTATATTGATGAAGCTGTATCCTGCAAATTTAACAAAAATTAAAAGGCATAGCAGTTCCTTGGAATATTTTGAAAATATTGGTATCACATTCTGATAGGTAAAAGTAGCTTTTTGGGAAAATATTTTGATTAAAGATTTGTAAAAACCTTTTACAAGCGTATCTAAAAATACTATATTGGGCCATGTTAAAAATAAAAAAAATACTGCCATGGTGGCCCAGTGGTTAGAATACAGTACTGCAAGCTACTTCTGCTGACTGCTGGCCGCCGGCAGTTCGATTCTCAGCAGCTCAAGGTTGGTTGACTCAGCCTTCCATCCTTCTGAGGTCGATAAAATGAGAACCTGGATTGTTGGAGGCAGTACGCTGACATTTGTAAATGGCTCAGACAGTGCTGGAAACCACTTTGGAGTGGTATATAACTGTTAAGTGCTATTGCTATTGCTGTCTTAATTAACTATCACATTGACACTGGCTTTGGCCACTCTGTGTTGGAAAAATTCAGGACTGTTCCTTGTAGATTAGGGCTAGACCTTTACCTTACTGATTTTTTCTGGTAATTCAGACAGACACAGGAAATAGCTGCATTCAGCACAAACATTAAGCCAGAATTGTTTTAGTGGAGTAATCCATATTTGTCTGATTTACATATAAAAGTAAACAATAATCCATCCTTCCGGGGTAGGTAAAATGAGGACCCAGATTGTTGGGGGCAATGTAAATATATATATACATTCTTACTGGTGTACACCGCTTAGAGAGTGCTTGCACTTAAAGCAGTATATAAGTCTCATAAATAAATAAATAAATAAAATAATGGAGGGATGTGCTATACTTAAGCCACTTATAACCTAGTCCTGTATGCATATGATAAGCCTATGTTTCCTTATGAAATTATTTGATATCTCCAATTTTTCTTTTCACCAAAGGAAAAAAACCTGGAAAATTGAGTTTTTCTGATTTATAGTTTATAATTATGGTGGATGCTTTTTACCAAAGTCTCCAATTCTCATGCTTTATGAAAGTGCTGACTTAATATGTTACTATATACTTTTACTACTGTCCAGCACTTTTTACTAGTTCTTGCTCTCTCTGAGGGCTGAAGACTTTGCAACCCAGGACGTGTAATTGGAAAATGCTGGGGTTTGTCTCCCTCTCATCATCATACTTGTTACGTTATGCTGTCTATGATTTTTTTTAATGTTGTAAAACACCCAGAGTTGCCTTGTGATGAGATGGGTAGCTAACACATTTAATAAATACATAAAAATAACTAAAATGAATTTGGTGCCATTCAAATAAAAAATAAACCTCTTCTGATTTACCAAAATTCTTTAATGGGGAGCTAAAATTAAAATTCTTTAAAGGAATGAAGTTAATGAAGCAGGAACTAGTAGTTCGCATACTAGAACATGCCATTATGTCAACAGTGATCAGGTGCCTTCTCTGACTATCTAGAAAAGCACCAAGTTTTTCATTGATTTAGAAAGGTAGTAGGAAAAAGGTTAGAATTGAAAAACAGAAATATGGTTTTCGAGAAGGGCTTTGATTTCTTGATTTCTGCAATGGACAAATCTTCCCAGTGTTTATGGCTTCATTTTTGTTTGCAATAAAGAGACGAATCTTGCCAAATCATATGCAGGACTTCTGCCAAGTAAGCCAGTTTCAGAATAAGGTTTTCAGTATCTGCGTATCTGATATTTATGACTATGCTTGCTTGAAGCCTGTGATTTTGGCTAAGATATACCTGTGATTATACATAGTTTGTACAAATTACCACATGCTCACACACACTTTAAAATAACAATCGGGCTAAAGAAAAGCAATTCACACACAATCCAATTTTTTAGCTACTTTTTAATCCACCTTCATTATTTTTTTTTATAAATAACTCAAGGCAGCAAATATACGTAATAGTCCTTCCTGCTCTTATTTGAAACCTCCCTACTCACACAAATGATAACATCTAACTTTATGAATATTTACAGTTTTTTGGCTAGGATTATTTCTGTACTAGAATATTATTTATGTCTACACTGCCCATCTCACTTAAGTGATTCTGGGCTGTTTTGTGAGAATTGCCCTCAAAATACGTAAGTGCATTTTTCCTGAAAACCTCAAAAGAGGCTCTTTTTGTATTGAAAACAAAATTTGACCATTTTCATTTAAAACGTACTAGATCTAATTAGCTCACCATACGAAAGTTTTACTGTAAACTTCCCACCCACTTCATTTAAGTAAAGAACTTGTAAGTAGCAAAGCAGAAAATACTTGCATCTTTTAGTTGAAAATTTGGCATGATTAATTCTCTTTCAGTTCCTGTGGAAGAATTTTTTTTAAAAAAAATATATAGCTATTTATTTCCATAACTATCAATGGGAAACATCCAAGTAGGGCAGGGATTCTCAATCTTGGCAACTTTAAGACTTGTGGACTTCAACTCCCAAAGCTGGCTGAGGAATTCTAGGAGTTGAAATCCACAAGTATTAAAGTTGCCAAGGTTGAGAACCCCTGAAGTAGGAAGTTTGACTTGAGCCCTAAGCAAATCCAAGGTACATTATGTTATTTTTTTATGGTTTTTAAATCAATCCTTGTGGTAGAATGCTTACGCGTTACTGCTGTTGCTATACTTACCGTATTTCTTAATAAAGGGTTCCCAAGCAAAAAGCACATTTGTTTTATTTTCAAAATAATCCAGTTTTGGATTTTACCCCTTGATTATTATTTTTTTTGTGAACTAACATGATGCCTCCAGCAGATGGCAACAACAATCCAACCTTGTGTTGTAACTGTCACTGCATATTTCTTAGGAGTGAGCCCTATAAAGCCCCATAATTGCACAGTAAACAGTAGGATTTCACTGTAAAGCTTCAGTTCTTAAAATAAGCACAAGAAGTATTCAAGCACAGAGATGAAAGTATTTTAATACCAGGACAATGGATACAAAATCATCTGAAATAGGAGTGTCCAGTGGTCCAGTGAAATGAGGCCATGATGGATATCAACAATTTAAAGAAAGCTGCAGGAGTCAAAACATCTACAACAGGGGTTCTCAACCTTGGCAACGTTAAGACTTGTGGACTTCAACTCCCAGAACTCTTCAGCCAGCTTTGCTGGCTGAGGAGTTCTGGGAGTTGAAGTCCACAAGTCTTAAAGTTGCCAAGGTTGAGAACCCCTGATCTACAATATCCTATTACCACAAAAGAACCCACAGACATGAACAAACCTTGGAAACTGTATCAGCTGCATTGAATCAAAATGTCCTTTTATCCAAACTCCTTACGAGCTACCAAAACTCTGTTTGTATCTTCCCTGAAGCTGCAAAATATGATCCTATATAAGTGAGCCTGAAAACTGGATGACAGCACAATCCCTTATCTGTATTCTTCTGTTTCTCTAGGGAAGAGACAAGGAAATCAAGAGGATGAATTACTTTGTCCATCTCCTGTCTGAGATAATCTTGCACTGCCCTTCTAATTTTGTCTCTGATTGCTTAGAGCTGTTGTTTATAAATAGGCTCTGAATTTCCAGTCTGAGAAATTGCCCTTAATGTTGAATGTTTTGCATTAACATTTTTTATCTCTTTTCCTCTCCCCGTGCCAGAACTTTATAGCCATTTTGTTTGTCTCCAATGAAAGTATCCAGATGTCTAAAAGGAGTGTGTTCTGATATTCTTTGGATTATACTTAATTATATTTATTATACTTCAACATAATGCATCTATTTACAGTTAAGCATTCTTAACAGGAGTCCTTATGCTGCAGTAGAAGTGGAG